TTTGACAAATGTTTTTGTCTTAACCACTGACTATCGAAAAACAAAGGGATATATATTCACAGACCCTACTTTCGTGATTGTTTTTTTTTTAAGTCTTTTCAAAGAAATTTTCATAGTTACAGTATTTTACTAATTGATTTTATACATATATCTACACTACTCATTAATTCATTCATTCATCACAATGGGTGAAATTTTCGACAGCTGGCAATACAATATCAATTACCCATTTTTCCGTTCATTCTGTCGTTCGCACATATTCTGTCTTTGTTTAATTTAAAGTTTAATCGTAGATATGAGGGAGACAAATATAATAAATCTATTTATTATATATAGTATAAATATTATTTGCAAAGCTACGTCCTGATTTCGGAAAAGTGCTACGCTTTTTGGCGCGTCTGTTGTATGGGATTGCTTCTCTAGTTATTAAACTCGTCTGTACGTACTCGCTGTACGTGCGTGATGTCAGTTACCATAATGTACTTCCAGATCAGATTGACAAAGTATGCTTTGATGAATTCAGTAAATATCACAAAATGTATTTATAATCGCTAACTACATATAACGTTCACAAACTTTTGTGTTATCTAATTTTATGCCCGCATCCCTGCATGTTGCAATCTGTAAGATGCAGCTACCTTCTCCATGCCGATCCTGAGTTTTTCATGTATTTTTATATCCATATTTTTTTGTGAAATACACAATATGTATAATTAGGACTCATTTTTCTGGTAACACTGCAAGTGAGAGCGAATTATGCCGTCACGTATCGTGAATGTTTCAGAGACATGCGTTTGATGATCGTTTTGTTAATACAGTACAAGATACTAATTGCTACTAAATATTGATATGAAAATGGAAATAATATACAGCAGTATTGTTGCACTTACCCGATTAGATTTATTAATTACAAAATTTAGTTCAATCGCAAAATGTTTTCTTTTGGTTTTATTGTAGTACGATATGTGGCAGCAATACACATGGTATCGGCGCCGATGAGTACATGATTGATATATATTCACAGGGCGACAACAAAATGGGTCCTCCGGGAGTGCCGGGAGTGCCAGGAGTGCCTGGAGTGCCGGGAGCGCCGCCGCCGCCCCCAGGTCTATAGATATAATTTTAACCAAGTTTAACTGTTTGTTACTTTAATTAAAAATTTTATTCGTTCTACATCGAAGCAATCAAAAAATTGCATGTTTGTTTGTTCACTATTATTTTGCGTTTAATTAAATCGATTACGATGCCATTTTCCTAGAAAGTACACTCCACTAAATAAAAAAATAATAATTATAGCTAAATTCCAAGCTACAGGTGAATCCGGGGCATTCCCTTAAAGTTGTAGGACTGCAGTCCTTGACTCCGTCATTTCCTGCCTTCGCATAACTGGACGCGTAGTGCACTCACTGGATCAAACTGCACTTATTATTTTGTCACTTTTTTAAAGTTAAATGTTGGTTACATTAAAAAAGTTAGTTAAAAGAGTAGCTCGGTGGCGTAGTAGAAATGCGCCGCGGCTCGCGATCGTTGTCGTTAAGCAACGTTCGCAAGGGTCGGTAACGGGATGGGTGACCAAAAAATTATTATCTCGAGCTACTCCGTGCTTCGGAAGGCACGTTAAGCCGTTGGTCCCGGCTGCATTTGTAGTCTTTAATACCCGCCAATCCGCATTGGGCCAGCGTGGAGGGTTCTTGTCGGGTCATAAGGAAGGCCTGAGCCCCTGCAGTGGGGACGAAATAAAGGGCTGATGATGATGACATAAAAAAAATATAATTTATTAAAACTTCACATTGGAAAGCACGTTTCCTACTTCAATGTTTATGTACTTTTATTTATTGAGATGTGCCACCTGAGAGTTCGGTTGGTGTGTGCGCAGGCGCGGGCGCGGGGCGGTGGGGCGCGTTCCCGTGGGGGGCGCCGCCCTTCCTGGCGCCGCCGCCGCCGCCGCCGCCGGTCTCGTCCTCCTCCTAGCCAGAGGGGTCGACCACGCCCAGCCTCTACTGCTCACATCCGACCGATATCTTACCGACCCAGAGCGCTGTTTTGGGATCGAATTTGTGAAATTAAATCGTGCAATTTATTTATATCCACCGTCAAAAAGTGTACTTTCGCGATAACATTGTTCTCTTCTGATCGAATAGTGATTTACTGCAATGCATATAATGAATTTTCTAGACGAGCAACTTAACACATAGTAGGCACGGGGCGGGGGGGGGGCGGGTCTCCGGTGTAATTATTTAACGAATAATACTATGGGATATGGAATTAAAAGTCTAAACCATAAGCTTTATGATCTATTTTCCTATATTCCGTTAGGTCAATTTTTTTAACGTGATATAATAATATGCCACGTTGTATATTTTTTCATTTATTAAAGATCAAGATATGACTTTACGAGATTCAATAATTAATTTGGTTACACGTGACGTATCAGAGTACAAAAGCGCACGATTATGACGTCACACGACGCAGCTCTGTGACAGCAGAACGGCAACTGAATATATACTGGCGACAGAACGATAAAACCCTCTACAAGATTTACTTATATAGATTTAATACAGATTTTAAAATTATTAACTTCTAAATAAATGTATATATTTCATTACTTAGTACCTTTGTTACTAAAAGAAAACATAGTCTCTATAATGCAATAACATTTTATGGTAAAAAGTAGTTAACCAAAAAGCTCTGTGAGCGTTCATTAACGAGTCGATGACCAAAATGATTGGCATAAATAAATATGTCCCAAGTTTAATATTATTGATTTTACATGAACGTTTCTTTGGCGGGTAACTGTTATTTGTTAATACATCACATCGACGCGCCACACTCCGCTCAAATCGAGTGTAAAATTATGATCACATTCTGCAATAAAATAATACACTGATAATACTCTTATTATTTTTCTAATTGTGCCCTCGTCGATATTCCATTCCGTGTCGACCCAGCACGCGTATCATGACAAACTTGAGAAACGCTTTGTCTACACCCATTTGTCAGTTTCTCGGGTCGAGAGTGAGATATGAGCGCACCCGAGAAAAGTGACATTGGAGTGTAGACAAAACGTTGTCGCGTTCGTCATGATACGCGTGCAGGAAAGCAATCGCGCAGTAACCTGTTAAATCAAAGTTGTTTTTAAAACGGAAATCTATTTATTTTTAGAAAAAGTTCTTATTTTCCTATAATCGACTTGGTAAGTGATGTGCGGTATTTGTCACCATGCATAAGAATCTTATTTTTTGGAATTCGTTATGTAGAAGAATATTTTGATTATGCGGGTTACTACTCGTTTGCTTTCCAGCGTCCGATATTTATATAGATTAACTAGGTGTACATATAACTGAGGGTGAACCGCGCTGTGTATGGCCTTCGGGCCGATCCCCTGCATCGCCTTCCATGCGAGGGATATCGCTGAGTTTTAGTGGGTATACCCCTGCTCTTTGACTAGCCCCACTCTGGATCGAGGCCGCAGGGGGCAGCCCCACATGACCCGTGGAGCCCGCGCTGGGTGAGGCTGGTATACAGTAATGCATTTCTCAACGTATAATCTTATTTCTCAGTCTGTGAGGTTTTTTATTTGTAAACCACGCCCGGAGCGTTATAAATTCTAAGACTGTATATTTAGGATTATAGAGTGGCCCTCAAAAGGTTTCCCGCACAAAGTCCCGTGTCTAAGCGACGCCCTCTAGCTTTGAGTTGTAACAACACTTATTGAAAATGCATGAACGTATCACATAATTTCAGCTTTTGCCCACTAGAAACGTTAATATAGGTATATAAAAACATACAACACCGTTAAACATGAGACCTCATCGCTTTGGATTTTTAAAGTCGATTAACAATAGAAAACATGATTTTAATCACTCAGATGTTGCATTACCCTACTCGTTTTAATGCATAGGCACTTGGGGTAGATTTATGATAGCACAGATTGTCCTTATCGTATTTGGCACGACAAACAGATCGTTTGCTCTAACCCAAAGAGTACAGTCTTACTTTAAGAAACCAATACCTTAAAAAATACTTTTGCTCTTTAAACATGAGTTCAAGTCTGCAGTACTCAAAGTAAAAAAAATAGACCAGCAGTGCCTAAGGATTTCCTTTTGTCATTTGTAAAATACGCTATATTAATCGGTGTACCTACGCCATACATTCTGTTAGATAGTGGGTGAAAGGCTAATTGATCTAAGCGACATTTTGTAAATGTTACAGGAGAACTAATTAAAGTTTTTTTTTTCAGAAAAAAAATCAAAATTAAACAACTATCTAATACACTTTGATTTATTTGATACAGTGTATCCCTAGTTAAGAAAGGAAGTTTTTTAAGCTATGGCTGTTGGCGATTGTGTTTTATTTTAGGAAATTTATGTCGTTTAACCCAAAATGCATCAAATTAACTTATTTTTTAAGAAAGGCATAATGCTATAAATTCTTATAATTACTAAAATAGCTGAAAGCAAACTGGCCCAAGCATCAACATAACAAAAAATATTATAAGACTAAATGAAATAAGTGCCACGTCAACTAACAGTTGAATATACCCAATGAACATAAGCAACATCATGGTGTTGCACCAGAGTGAAGTAGTTTGATGCAGATGTCCATTAGGAGAACTACAAGATAAAACAAAGTGAATCCTTATTAGATTTTTAGTAGATTTTGATGCTTAGGCCATCATTATTCAGCAACGTCTAATGACATTAAGATATTTGTGTGAGTGGTATCAGTTTGTAAATAACTCAAAAAACTGTTTTTTATGAATTATAATTTATTCGAAATCAGTCTTAAACAACGAACGTAATAACAACAATCAGTAAACAAATCAAATTAATGGGTAGCACTCAAACATTAATAAGTAACCATAAAAGTAACCAATGATAATCAGAAGCTGAATTAAATAACAATCGTGTCAGAACACAAATAAAAGATAGTTCTTTACTAAAACACAACAGAAAGTTCGCAATCTTTAATTATCAAGAAATAAGAAATAAAATGATTCTTCATTCTATCTCATCCTCAATATCTGTATCTATCAAAACATCTTTACCAACGCGGTGTGGAAAGTTAGTGTATTCTGGGTGAAAAATTTTGGGAATAACCCCTGTATCACACAGCTTTTTAAGATCTTTGTACTTCACCGTAGTTATTGGCAAAGATACTTTGTACTTCCTCTGTACTACCTTTGGTCTCGAAATTATGGCTATAGAATCGGTCTCTGCATTTTCATCCATGCTGTATTTAACAGTCATGACATTGGGTGACGATTTTTTAAATGTTGCTACCCGAATCTTACTTATCTTACCAGTTAAATTACCTTTGAAATATTTTTCAGAAAACTCTTCATAATTCATGAAATCGTTGTGAGTAAGAGTTTTTACGTAATATGGGGCGGGCTCTCTACGAGCCAACTGAAAAACAGTTGGCCACTGTGATGGTGCCCATATTGTATTATTCCTAACAGAATTTTCGATAGTTGCGTGTATGCTATCGACAGTCATTTCTGTATGCCCTGGTAGCAGATAATTTATTTGTATCGTTTCAATATGTTTCGTTTGAAGTAGTGCGTTATGTAGGGCGGCTAAAACTAATTTGTTTTTGTTCTGCCCCGGGCATGAGTCTGAATATAGAATTAAATTTGTTACTGAACCACGTGAATCCACTTCAGCAATATACTTTTGTAATATTGTAGCTATTTCATTGCCGCCTCTTTTGCCTTCGGTTTCTCCCCACGTATAACAAAAGCCATTTCTGGTACCACTTTCGTAAAAACAAAGGTTGTACACTGCATATTTTCTAGAATAAAAAAGTAACATATTCTCTCCATGTGGGGTATTCAATACCTTTTGGAGATCAAAAGAAGTACAAATCATTGTTTTATTCTTCTTGCTTAGCTTACGGTGAAAATCTAATCTGTCTTTTGATGACTTTTTTTCTTTTAAATGACTTATCATTTCAGAATTTTCTTTTTCATTCTGATTTTCAAAATGTAAACATTTTACACATTTATCCTTCTTCGGGACGTGGAAGCCAATATTGAACTCCTTTTTGAAAATCTCACGAAATATTTTTTCACCAACAACGTCTATACCTTCTGATGTTTTTGACTCTTTATAAATCCTATAAAGGTTTTTTATGTTTTTAAGTTCAGTGGGAAGATATAATCTGGTACTGTCTTTACGACAGTAGTGGGATGGTAGTGCTGGTAAGCTTTTGATAAAATTAATGGCCGACTCCTTTACCAAGGGAGGTGTTTTATTTTTAGGGATAGTTTTGCCTCTGCCTTCCTCTTTTGATAATCCATACGATGCATTAGCTAAAGTATAACTAACATATTTTGGGCTAACACCCAAAGTGTCTACTAGAAATTTTTTGCAAACCTTACGTCGGCCTTCACCATCGTTAATATAGTAATAATACGTATTGTGCCTCACAGCAGAATCCTTTGACCTCTTACGTTTTATGTCACTTTTAGCAGTCATGCCTATTAGCCAATCTTTTTTTCTTTGGGATGATAGTCCCCAAAAATAATCAAATATATTTATTCTTTTTTCTTCCGAAACATTGCTGCAGTTGTTACCACAGGATTTTCCAATGCATGGATTGGGTTTAAGTAATCTTGCATTTACAATACCTCCGTCTTTTTTCATATACTCTTTTCCTTTTTCTCTTAAGGTTTTTGCTTCTTTGCGTTTATTCTTTCTCTTTTTTTTCAATCCTACTTCACCCACTTTACCATCTTCTGATCTTACTTTTCTTTTCCTTTTTTGAGGTTTATTGTTTTCTTCCGATGAAGATTCATCCCCACTTTCCACCCAAGAAGAGGAATCCCACGCAAAATCCTCTTCTTCGGATAGAAAATCAACATAACTTTTATTTGGTTTGCTTCTCTTGTACTTTTTTTTGGATTTGACTTGAACTTCGTTTGAATTATTCATTTTCTCTGATTCTACGTCATCTTCATCTACTTCAAGAGACTTCCTCAGCAATTCCATGTCACTCTCAGCAATAACTTCCGTTAAGGAAGAAATAAGTTCAGGTTCTTTTTCTTTGTCACTTTGTTCATTTTTAGAAGTTAGTTCGTCATTATCGTTTTCTTTTTGTGTAATTTCGTAGCTCGAGTTTTCTTTATTGCATTGTCTTTCAGTATTGTATGTCTGAAATTATAAAAAAATAATAAATGTTATTTCCACTTTGATAGTCATAGGTAAGGCTATTAATAAAATTAATTACATACCAACTCAAAGTCAACATCCATTTGAATATTATTTTCTGGATAGCTATTTTCTTTGTTTAGATCTTTATTAGTAATATCTTCTATTAGAGCGTTTGCGGTACTGACATGATCATTCTAAAAGAAAAAATAATCTAAATTCACGAAAACTTTTGTTGTATTAAAGTTTTTAAAGGTATAAAGCTTTGCTTACCTGTGACTCTTTTTCCGTATTGCTGCTGATAGAGATTGATTTTTCTTTGTGATTTTGTTCATTGGTAGATATTTGTTCGTCATCAGAGTTTTCTTTTTCTAAAAATAGATAGCTTGAATTTTCTTTATTCGACACACCTTCAGTATTCTCAGTCTAAAATAAAGAAAAGGTGTTGTCACTTTCATAAAGTCATAGGTAAGGATATTAATACAATTAATTACATACCGACTCAAATTCAATATCAACTCGTATATTATCTTCTACTTGTATATTTCCTGTATAACTATTTTGTTTGGTTAGATCTTTGACAGTAATATCTTCTAATAGAGCTTTGGTGGTACTACCATGATCATCCTTAAAGAAAATAATAACGTTAATCAACGAGAACTGTTATAGTTACAAAATTCTTATAATGCATATAGCTTTTTTACCTGCGACTCTTTTTCCATAGTGTTAACTGTATTCGCTAATGGAAAACCATGGATTTGATCATAATAGGATTGACTTCCTAATAGTGTAACAATACGATTGCCTTCAGTTTCATTATTTAAACTGTTTTCATTTTCTATCTTCTTAGATATTTTAGTCTTATGTTGAGACAACTCTTTCACTATCTGCTTCTTAAAATACAACCGGCGTTGTGATTCCATTCTTGCTGAAATGATATTAAAACCGATTGCAGAATATTAATATTAATTTACGTACTATATTTTATGAGATTTAGATACACCCAAATCTATACTAATATTATAAAGAGGAAAGATTTAATTGTTTGTTTGTTTGCAGTGAATAGGCTCCGAAACTACTGGACCGATTTTAAAAATTCTTTCACCTACGGGAAGCCCTATCATATGCGCTGAACATAGGCTAAACGAGTATTTTATCCCAAAAAACGGCAAATAAAATGGGATGGGTATGGGTATAGAATACAGGTAATTAAAAGGGCGTCATAGTCATGTCAAGGTAACCATTGTTTATGATTCCGTGAGTGTTTATATCTATGGTACTCACACAGTTCCCTAGCACCACGCGAGCAAAGCCGCTAACGGAAAGCTAGTAACCTATAAATCAATTATGTATAAGCTATGGTATTCTGAGGGCTTAATCGTATTTTTTATCTCGATATTCCCATGGACGGACCGATATCCAAATATGGAAACATCAAAATTTCGACATTTTTAATTATTATTTTCACATACCTACCTACTTACGGATTTTGTAATTAGCATTAAGAAGATAAATACATTATTATATTTACTTACATGCTTTAGAATGCATCTAGATATCTAGATACATGCCTACAAGTTCTTTCGCGGACAAGTCTCGACACGAACCTAGCTTGAATTTAATAGAGATACCTACTATAAATCAAAACAATGTCTTCTTTATTCTACATTTCTAACGTAATTACAGATGTTTTCATCGGATATCGATTACATAAAACAAAACAATTTGTACTTACCAGACAAAGCAACCGTCTATCTTCACAGCTCGTTCGCACACAACTTGCTTTAAAGTTGGCGGCTGACTGATGCACCTGCGCGGGGGTGGGTGAGGTACTCGTAACGGTCATTTATAGTATAGAGCGCGCAATAATAATCTTAGTTCCAAGCGACTAACGAGTACTCAACCTTATTAATTTATTGGACGGCCTATATGTTAAAACAGACTTCTTAAAATGATGGAAATGCTAATTTAACTAATACTGACTTAACCAAATGTTTCAACCGACTTAATATTATAGATAATAGTTAGGTCAAAGTATCCGAAGTGACATTTCTTATTGTCCTTAAGAGAGACTAAATGGGTCAAGCGACATTGTAAAGTAATATAACTTAATTCAAAATGGTTCAAGCGACACAGTTTTTCAATGTGGTAAAAAGCAAAATAGGCCAAACGACAAAGCTCATTCTTTTGGTTTAATGGAAAATAGACCAAACGACAAAGCAACAACCATGACGAAAAAGCTAAGTGCCTTTAACGACACGTATTATAAAAGTTCGAAAAATCAAAATAACTTAAGTCACCGAGTCCTCAAATTTGTTCAATTTTGTGTCGTTTAGGTTAATGAGCTTAGAAATGAGGCCTGTTTTGCTCTGGGTGATAAGCGCCAAAAAAGTCGTCCAAAAACTTTGGAACCTGGCTCAAACGATGGAGAAAAATTTGCTGATTCCGAATATGTATATAACTCAATATTGAAAAAATTGTCGCTTAGATCAATTAGGCTTTCACCCATGCCATTTTTTGGGTGACCTTTTCCAAGTATGATATAGGATTGATAAAAGTTAATTTAGTTCTACAATGGTAAGTGCCAACACCAAAGCAAATTCGCCATGTTGTTACCAATTAGGGTTCCACAATTAGGGTTCTACAATTATTACTGTCCAAACAGGGAGCTCACACTGGAAATCGTAACTTTAATATTTAATAACAATTGTGATTTTAATGGCTGATCGTAAATCCTATAATAAGATTTGGGAAACCATTCACATTGTGTTTACGACTATATCGGTTGTTTCCAGAAAAAGGCTTTTAAAGAGTTCTAGCTAGGATTGTAGATTTCTTAGACAATAGCACTACTAAGAGATACCCATATAAATCTACCTAGGCTTATATCGGCATATGACAAACCCCTATAAAGTGCATTTTTGCCTAGCAAGTCTTGATATAAGCTTTTCAGGATTCTCGCGACCGCATTAAGCTCGTTATTCGTTATATTGGAGATTTAGAGGAAAAGTGGCCTTATACGGGTTCTAACTAGGATTATTCACGATTTCTTAGATTATAGCACTACTGTGGAATGCCTGTATAAATCTACCTTGGCTTATATCGGCATATGATAAACCCATATAAGGTGCATTTTTGCCTACCGAGTCCTGATATAAGCTTCAATATGAATATGGATCTGGATTCGTGTTAATATGAATTACAGACTAAATATAAATGCTCTTTAGTAGTCTTACTCGAATTGACTTATAAAGGCCACAAAAAATTGCTTATGTGAGGCTATAAGTAAGACTAATAAAAGAGTGATTGTTCCTCAGTATACATTTTTCTCGAATATGCTCATATAGGAGCCTGGAGATTAAAATGCGCTTAAAGCGTTGTGTTATATGCGCATATAAGTCGGAGTTGTCGGAGTAGTTCCTCGTGAGAGTAATTACTCTTATATAGGCGGTTTAGTCCAGTAGTAGCCATCAATTGTGATCCTATATACCATATTGTAGGAGTAAGCGTACTTGAGTAAAAACAGGATTCACGTATGCTGATATAAGTGCAGTGGCATATTCTGAAACCATTATAAATAAATAAATATTACACAATATCACATACATTGTTCAGATTCCAAGATGAGTAGTCAAAGCCCCCGTATTATGGAGTATCTGAGACAACGAAGGTAACACAACACCCAGACCCGACACAATATAGAAAAGTTCATTTTCTACATTGACCCGACCGGGGATCGAACCCGGGACCTCAGAGATGGCGACACCTTGAAACCGGCGTGCGAACCACTCGGCTACGGCGGTCGTAGGAGGATTGAAGTAGCCATATAAGTCCAAAGAGGGTTATTAAGTCGCATGCCAGGATTATTTTGTTTGTTGGGCGTTCACCACGTGAGTAAACTACGCAAGTGTCTCCACAAACACAAAGTATTTCACCGCTCTTGCTTATATAAATAAAACATAAACATTGTATATTTTGATCACATTTTTATTAATAATAATTGTACGACAAAATAATGATAATTCACTTAAAATGCCGTCGCGTCATCATTCCACTTCCATTAGATATTTCGACTCCTGTATCTGGAGTGCTTTGAAACGAGCGATACCTTGTCTACGAGACGGCTAGATACATACATGTGGCCCGCACTCTGCGGCTACTGTCGTCACTGCGACCAGTACGGTATTCGTCGTCGGCAAACTGCCGCTCGTTTGATAGAACACTCATTATAAATGCACAAAATATATCAACAATCACTTAAGTATATTACTTGAGATACAATGACAATATGAACTATGCGATAAATAATTAATTTATATAAATTAAAAATACTCATATTAATTCAGTGTAATGAAAACTTAAGTAAGAAGTCGCTATAAATAAATCATTGTCATAAAAGATAGCACACTCACTATAATGGTCGCTAAATAATCGCAGCTTCGACAACTGAATGATTATTACTCGAAGCGGACGTGAACCGAACACACGGACATCCAGCAGGTTCTGCTTACTCGACATTTCTAGCAGTAATATACCAACTACCGTTGCGATAGAGATAATGTGCCGGTACTGCCGTGACACTTATAACCTTAATAATTAACTAAAATATCGCAACGCAACAACACTTTAATATAGATCGTCATATATTGATATATACACAATAGTGTCAATAGGATTTCGATAGATATCATTAATATAAGGTAATGATAATATATATCTATTTGCCTCACATATCACATAATAAGATCAATTCATGGCTGTTTTTCACTATCGATGGCATCCACATCATCATCCATCGAATAAAGCTGATTGTCTATAGATATATATTTAAATATAAAACCAAGATCAACCATGGTCTACATGGTACGGTGTAGCTATTTCTGCTAACAACAGACAAGACAAAATAATTTATACCTAAATACATATGTTCAAATGAAATTCATGTCTTTATTTCTAAGTTAATGCCTAAATGTACAAAAGTAACGCACATAAATGAAACTCATATATTCGAACACATTACAAAAACGTACAAAATAGGTGGTTATCTTATGACATATTATCTCCGGTATTACATACAATTTTGAATGAATCAGTCTAATATGAATAATACACACAAAAATCCATAATTTTATAAAACCACACTCGAGAGCAAAAGATCTTAACTACATTATTTTTGTAAAAAAAATATTTGTTGTTATTGATTATTCTATACGTTGATATCGTACTAGAACCTGGCGACCCGGCGAGATATCCTTGTTATCGCTTAATAGACTGCGACTGGTCAACAAAAAGCATACTTATTTATCTCCTTGTCTTTCGTATGGGTCACAATTAAAACAAGTACAGGGTCGACTTCTATGTTGTACAGTCGACAGGACGTCTGGCTGATGAAAATCGACCGAGTTTCTCCAATCGCGTTTAGATATTATTCTGTTGTCAGTTAAGTTCAAATATGTGTGCAGAAATTCTGCAGTACATCGGCGTGCACATTCTTTAAAAATCGGTAGTAACCATTAAATATGCAGCAAATTATGACAATCACTTCCTATCCTATGTCAAATAAGATATAATCCCCGCAAATTGCTAATGAGCCTGGCTGTCATTTTGGTGAAGTAAATGCGTTCAACAATCAGTACCGTACACAAGTAAACACTGGTTGACGAGTACACTTATTGAGTTGGGCTGTGTTGAGATTGCACATCATTTTTTGTTGTTTTGTTGTTACTTGTTACGGTTGACTAAAATAGCAACTGCTATTATTATTTTCACAATAAGTAAACATAATATCACTAATAATAAATATATCAAATGACTCTCATTTTCATTATTACTTTTAGATATGCTTTCCGTTTATTATCGCGTTATTACAAAGTTTTTTTTTTTTATATATTTTCCATATACCTCAATATTTACATATAAATTGATATTTTCCAAAAAATTTAACTAAAAAAAACAAACAGTTATTAAATAATTGTAACAATGTATTGTTTGGGTGCATTGTCTGAACATTGATGAGAATGCGCTCTGTAGTAGCGAAAAAGTAGAAGTGCTTAAAAGATCCGTCAGTCCTGTTAGGTCCTGGGTAGCTCCGTGGTTAGAGCAGTCAGGATAGCGAAAGGTCATGGGTTCGAAGTCCATCTCGGGGCGCCAGGGCCCAAGTGGATATTTTAAGTATTTTTCAATATAGCATTATGAATGCGAAATAGACTAAATATAATAATATGTTGGGGATTATTCATTAAATAATGAATAATAATGAATCCAGATCATTTAGACAAGGTTCCAGCGCAGTAGCAATTTACGGGAGTTATACGATAAGGAATGGTGATTGCTTGCATGCAACTTTAAAACTATTGTTACAATGTTTTTGATACTATTAACTAGATATCTCGGCTTTCACATCTCTGTAGGCCCTTTCAAATTTATATTGATCATAAATGTATATATTATTATCCATAAGGAAGGCATTCGTCGACCGTTATAAAGCGTAAGGTACGGCGCCCGTGACGTCATTGTATACTACGCACACTACACATGTCCAAATTCATTGCTACATACGGTAACGTTACGTAACGGTACGTAGCTGTCACGTTACACCAACTGATAAAATAAAAAGGGGAAGACGCGGCAGTAGCGCTTTGTTAATGGCCGCTACAAATGAGGCGCATACGTGTAGTTTGTGACTTATATCTTGCTTATTTAAGGAATACTGATGGTGGGCTCCATCTTCCCTTTTTTACTTTAATCAATGGATAAATATTAATTTATAAAGTGCTTACTCATAAAGAAAGTCATTTCGTAAACACTCAAACGTTTGTACGTGGTAAGCACGTATCACGATTTTATAATATATGGCATCACAAATAACTCTTATAAAGATCAATTTAAATATGAATCTCATAAAAATATTGATTTATCACAAATCACTTCAAAATAAGTTAGTTCTAATGTAATATTGAATATTGAAATAAATTCATAAACCAGAATATGTGAGAAAAGGGAATAAGGTTAGACTCTCCGGTGCTTCCCCGGGCCATGCAATCTCGTGCGAGTGCAGATTGTCGAGGGCGGAGGGTGGTCGCGCGGGGGAGGGGCGGGGAGGGGGGGCCTCATCGCGCCTCCTTGGCCGTCAGCTTCTCAATGAGCTCCTGCAGGGGGGCCAGCTCCCGTCGCTCGATCAAACTGAACTCCTAAAATGCGAGGCTACATGTCATTAATAATTACTAGATTAAATAGCCTAGGATATGGATATTGAGTTCATCATAGATATTTTATTCATCTATTTAAAATATGTATCTGATATCATATAAATATATATGAATGCTGCACCTGCACAAAGAATATAAAGTGCTTGAAGGAGGTGTTGAGGTGCGCCTCCTCGCCCAGCTGCACCACCTCTGGGAAGTGCTGGTGGTAGATGTGAGCGTACACACGGAATAAACGTTTGAGGATTGTCTTTGCCATTGAAAGGAAATTCTTCGGGAATGGCACACCTGTAACAATAATGTGTATGTTTTATTATAATAATATTCTTTACTGCACGCTAGACAGGACATAACACAGAAAAGATAGAAATAAGAGAGAGATTACAAAGGGCGACCTTATTGCTACGTAGCAATCTCTTCCAGGCAAACCGAGGCAAAGAAAAACATGAACTATATAATAAAAAGATAACTATATATGTTAATGGGATCCTAGATATTTAATTAGATCGTGACTTTTGAATGAACATAACCATTTTTTTATTAATTCAAAAAAGTTTCAGTTAGCAGTTTTCTTTTTTTAATATAAAGAAATTAGTGCAGCATTGATGCCAATTATAGAAACTTATATTCTTTTTTAAATCTTATTAACAATTTAATCAATTTTTTTTTTCATCTAATGTGTACCTTTATTAGACATAGTATTAGATAAAAAAAATAAACATATCAGTTATATCTCACAATTAAATGTGTAATGAATGCATAACTGGAACTATAAATTCGGGCACCGAGCGGGTAAGAGAGGTGTAAAGATGTGTTACATCACCCACCTGTGTTACAGAGGAAGCCACATTCTGTTCAATTTTATAAAAAATCTTGTAATAAGATAGAGTTGCTCTGCTCTTGTATAGATTGATTGTGGACAACTGACAAAAGATGAACCCAAATAAATGTGAATAATCTAAAACAAACCTATTTTAGAGGGGAAGAGTGTTTCATCATCAAGTTGGTCCTGTGCCCAGGTCATCAGGTAGTCAATGTACTTGGGTGCTGAGCATTTGATGGGCTTCTTAACAGTATGACCGTCTGCCCAGTGGTACTCATACTTGGGCCCCGCCGACATCACTGCACACGACTCTTCTGTGCAAAATTCTGTGATCGTGCCATACAGCATGTTGATCTGATTGAAGAAATCTACAGCTGCAGAAATAAAGTTATATAAATAATTTAATTAAATCACCTAACACCATACAGTGAAACAAAGGAAGTACAGATAAAGTTATCAAACTGTGATTCACTGCACTAAACAATAAGTGTACAGCTATTACTTCAATAAATGTAAAACAATAGCATTAGCATAGAATCGTTTTTAAAAGCTCCTCTCGAGTTAATTGGAATTTATGAGCATAAAATTGAAGTTCTTTGATGACTAATTACTAAAAATTTTGAGAATATTAAACCATCATATAAAATTATTTTTAATCGAACCATTTTTCATTAAGAACCTTTTTCAATATAAATATCATAATTAGAACAAATTTTCATCTTTAAGAAAAGTTTAAAATGTTTTTAAAAATATTTCTTTCGGCTGTTTCAGTGGATTGCCTGAACATTGATGAGAATACGCTCTGTAGGCTACTACAAAAAGGCTACTGAAAAAGTACTTGAAAGATTCATCAGTCCTGTTAGGTCCTGGGTTACTCAGTGGTTAGAGCAGTCACCTGCATTGTGAGAGGTCATGGGTTCGAATCCCAGCATTTTTTAAGCATATTTTTCAATATAGCATCACAATGCAAAATTGATCATATATAATGATATAAACTTTTTTAATGTAACCTTATGACATTTGACATATAATTGACAGAATGTGTGCTGCAAATATTAATATTTATTTGACAATACAAGACAATGTCTGTCGGGTTAGCTAGTTGTTTATAGTAATGGTAGTGTGTACAAACTAATATGCGGACCCACAAAGACTAATTGTGTTTTAAAGAAAGCAATTGATTGAAAAAATTGTGGGGCAATGCATTTAGGGATTCTGCAATGAGTTTTTAAAATATTACAACAAAGGAATTATGAATTAAAACTATGAGATTGTGAAGTACTGACTGTTAACGGCAACCCACTCGTTCAGGTCCTCGCCCTCTGGCAGCATAACGGCGAGGCGCAGGTTGCCGGAGCCGAGTGTGGCCGCCGCGTGCCTCATCAGGTCGTACTGGTGAGTGCCCTCAGGAATATTCTTTTTTGGTTTGAAGGTCTTGTTCGACCGGCTTCCGCTGTTATGCAAATTGAAACGTTCAATTATCTCGGTACTAAATCAATAAGAATTGTGGGTAAAAAAGACACGAATCATATAGTATTCATTAATACACGTGTGCCGACACATACTAGTTGTCGAAGGGGCCCTGAATGGGCGATGCTAGTACACGAATTTACATATTTGTTTGAACTATAGCGAATCTTGGCCGCGGACGTAAACAAGACGTCAGCGGAAAGGAAAACGGTAAGATAAAAATAGAATAATGCGGTAGACGAGATTTGTCATACTTACAAAAGAAAACTCATTATTGATGATTGAAAGACTCCTACGGTAAAATAATATGTTAATATTTGAACTAAAACAGTTTCGAAGCATTAAAATAGGTTGTTCATTAGAATCAGTCCTTTGATGCACTTGTCAAAAACTTTAGGCATTTTCTTTTCTGTTTTCCTTTCGTATATTTGACAGATATAGAGGTGGGAGTATTTACTAGAACCGATCCATCTACTAGGTACTTTAAAATACTAGGCCACACGTTATAATTTATACAGAATGTTTGGAAATACATATATAATCCCGAAACATGGCCATAAAACCTAGCACAAAGAACATAATTAATATGTCAAAAAACAATTTCACGTAAATTGAGATTTTCATACAAATATTTGAACAATTTGTTTTCAATTAATATGCTACAACCCCGAAATATACGCGCCGTCCCGGCGTACTCTCTCTCTCTCTCTCATTACCTTTCACTCTCTCTCGTTTCCTAGGATACACTTTGATGTCGCCAACGCGCACACTCGATTGCGTATGAGTTTACTTGTAATTAAAACAATTTAAGATTAAACAGGTACATACCTAGAGGCAGCGTTCTAATCACACTTTCAGCTCTCACTTGTTAACATTACCTACGCTTCACCTCCACTTAATCTGTCCAGGGTCTCGATATGCCGGCCACCGAATAAAATACACATCTCCATTCGACTCGACACAGACCGGGTTACTTTCGACGTAAAATCATATCCTCTGTCTCGATGGAATAGGTCTTCGGTCGGCCTTCCTGTGGCACGCTATGGAATGAACCAGTTGTATGTTACCGATTCACAAGTGCCGTGAAGCACCGGTAAAAAGGAAGACGTCGAGGGTTTTCAGATCTTCCTGACACGTGGCGCTCGTCATAAAGCCGCCGAGCCGCAGCAAGGTTACCGTCACAAGCACCAACACACATTATCATTTCGTAATATTAGGCATTTGAGTACGAATTCATTGCACTGACCGCACACAAACACAACACACAGGTAAACAGAACGAGTATGAAAAACAAACCAAAAGTCCCGAAAGAACGAAAACGTAAGCTGACCTTCTAAATTCTGAAAACTCAGAAGTACGCCGATGAAAGTCTCGGACGCGGAAATTCTATTAGGTAAACTACCTAACAAAAAATCGTTATTTATTTATTTAATTAAACAATGAAATTTCAAAATAACTTATTACACTATTTTTTTACTGACGTAATTGATAATTAGGCTGTTTACTTATTATTACAATTTTATTTACTTTTTTCACGGTTACACAGAATAAATGGGGCCATAATATTAAAAGTGGTTACCTAATTTAAGACCAAGTCATTAACAAAATTATAAGGCATAAAAAAATATTGATTAAATTAGAAAAGAAAAGAAATATTATTTATTATTATACCTTTCCATTACAACTAACCTTTATTTAATTATCATTTAAACTAAGAATAAGCAAGATATTTAAATTATTAATCTCATTGTATACGTCCGTATTTTATTGTTTCGTGAAAATAACACTGCTTTATGAAAAAAATTTCAAAGCTATTAATCTACAGAACCTTACTGACACATCAGAAACCCTAGTTTCTCAATACACATCGTCGTCGATTTTATGTCTCTGTCGCTCCTTCTTGCATACTTAGTCAATGTGAGCAATAGTGCAGTATCTAACTTCAATCAAAGTATTTGCAATTTCTTTTTTATTTTGATTGTATTATTAGAGTTTTCTTAATAATAGTTTTTGAAACACCGTTAAGCACAAGATTGGTGTTCTTTTATGGTTAAAAGTCATTTACTACTAACTTTTTCTTTGTTTTTGAAATAACAAATTACTCTCGGATGCATATTTATTGTAGGCATATCTTTAGATTTATTTAACTTCTGTTATTTTTGAAACTAGTTCGGCACATGGAGTCGATGACCAAATACAACACAACAGCTGTTTTAGGGTTGTCAGCGTACAGTTTTACTTCGAAGAAAAAAGCTAAATATCTAGGTCATGTGCTGGGTTTCAGACTTAGTGATCATTTATCTGGGTTCTATTCATCATACCGTATATGCCATATTCAGGATTATACAGGTATTACCAAATACGCTGTATAATAACCTTTTTTTCTCAATTTTACAATTTTCGATTTGAAGTCCCAAATACATTCTATACAATTGAGGTGAGGTAAGGCGTATTTACTAGAACAGATCCACGTATTAAGTTTATCACAATACTATTTTATGTGATATTTTTTTGCCGTCCTCCCCAATCAATATCAAGCTTTTCATTTTCTTTTTAGTATATTATTATTTTGCTTTTCATTAGTGTATATCTACACCGTTGTTGGCGGGGTCTTTTGTTTTTACCCCTAGTATACCTTTTATAATATATCTTACTCTACTACATTTTTGTTCTACTTAACTCTATTTATTTGATACATAGTTCCTTACTCATTCTATTTTTCTAACCATTCTATTGTGGCGACTGAGACGTAGCGACATCTTATTCATCGCACTAACATCGCCACAACAACCGATAGCGAGAAAACTAACATCGTCACAGCAATCGATAGCAAGACGAACTGCAGGAAGTTTCAACACCCAGTAACGAGATCGCGTTGTAGCAATTCAACTACATCCCCCACAATAAGTTTAATTACCAATAAGCATAAATAGAACGTCCAACCTACATCGGTTAAACCGCGGTCCCCGGGCTAACAACACCTAGCTCGGAGGGAGACAATTATCCTTTAGTCTCCCTTGCCAGTTGTCTCCTTCATCTAGTAGGGACCACGCCTTCAACATAACAGTTCGTACATTCGACTCTAACACAATGGTTCGTACTTTCGATTCTAACACAATGGAATAAAGTTTTAATTTTAGATAACTGCAATAACTAAAAAATACTAGGTGGATTGGGTATTTGGATCGAATATTTTATAATAATAGGAGTAGGTACTCTTAGTATCAAATTTGCCTAGTATAAACCAACTCTAGACAGATATGCTTGACATACTATATAGCACAGCTTTATAGTCGTCAAGAGTTTATGTTCCTAGGTTTATAGTAACTCAATCAAAGAGTAAAGTATTATGCCGCAACCGGCCACAATGCAACGGTTAATAATAAAATAAGAACTCTATCGCAACTGATCGCAACGCAAACAAGAATTTTAGGTGAAAGTAAAGATAAATATAAAGATATCTAAACTGCTTGGGCGCAACCTTCGAACATATTCTTGGTGACCGTTAAAAAACGTATAAAAATGTAACTATTTATGTGGAACATTGAAACATTTTATTTACCCAATAAATATAACAAAAATCCAATAACAAAAATACCTAAACGGAAATTTCACGGAATCGTCACTATTATCATTTCACAAGTGACAAGTGATCGTTTAGAATGGAAAACTATCACATCTTTCAATCATTTCATTTTCATTTTACATGTAGAAATTAACTTATTCACTTAACATTGGCAGAATTCTGCGAAATGCACAGATAAGCCATAACATAAGAATAGAATATCTGAGACACGTATATCCAATTAATCGGGTTTTGTATTTTTACGTAAAAAATGGAATCAATAGAATTTTTATACTGAGCGACATGAATTCGGACACGTGAGTGAATTCGAATTCGGGTCTAGATTTTTACAGAATCGCAGTGCTTCTAGATATGCCTAGAAATGTCAATGTGTGATGACGTTTCGAGGCTAGGGATACATTGTGTTACATTCATTATCGATAATAAAAAAAGTAACCAGATTAATTCTTACAAATAGTCATATTTTTTATCTCAAAAATATTAATGAATACTAAAAATGATTTTAGAATTGGCATTTTTGAATTATCTATTTTTTTTTCTTCCATTGAAAATGAACATAATTTATTAATGATTCTGAAAAAAGGCAAAGTAAAGTAATTGTTATTGCTTAAATAATATAAAGATAATTTTTGCATTCACAATGATACTAATAAATAGTCTTTATGAACTACTCGTGAGTAGTAGCGAAAAGATAACAAATGTTTTAAAAAATTGGCAGTCCTCTTGGGGCTCGGAGAGTTCAGTGGTTAGAGCAGGCACTCTGATTGCAAAAGGTCGTGCGATCGAGTTCCATCTCGGAGTACCTGTTACTGGTGGATTTTTTAAATATTAGCACTTAAAATCCATGATTTTTTTCCAAAACCAATCTTAAATAATTATCATCATCAGTCTTTAGTATTTTTTTTGTATTAAATAGTAAGTCAAGGACTAAGGTAAGACACCATTTCAACACGCCGTGCATAACACTACAATGCGAGCGGTACATTGTCGATATCGGTAGATTAATTATTATCTATTGCAAACATCACTAGTTTACTGCTGTCATTCTCTCTGTATTGCAGTGCAGCTTGCTTACTTTGCGTTGAATTTCAGTGTTCTCTTATCTCTGTTGAAAGGTTTTTATTTAAGTGCTGAAAACAGAACATACATAATGCAAGGTCTAAGTCTCCAGAGCTTGAAGAAGCACAAAGCTGTAAGCAAAAGTTTTATATTTTCTTTTAGTGCCTTTTAGGTGATTTTACGTCTTACATAATTAACCTAAAATTGAAAAGAGTTTTGGTTTTATGTAGTCTACTTTTGTCGGTAGCTTATCCCGCTGTACGTATGCACGGCTCTCGGGTGTGGTGGCGCAGTGTTCTACCTAGCGCGGCTGGCGCTGCGCTCCCCCGACGTGTCCTGGAATAAGAAGACCAACCCTGAACCCTGGGAAGAATACCGCAACAAGCAGTACAAGGTAGACAGCCACTCCTATTACTCTTGTAAAATGACATTGCCTATGGGTAATTGCAGTTTTGAAATTTGTTACTAACATAACAGAGGATATAAATTTTTGCACAAAGAATATTATAAGGTTAAAATGAATACTTTCATAAAAGTCAGGTCTGATAGACTATATCCTATTCATATTTCATCATATTGGTGCCAATTAATTATTTATTCAGTCTAGGCTGTTACAAGCACTTGTGAAAGTCGAGAGCTACGCCATCGGTTCGTAAATCTACAGCGGGAGACATTTGTTGTTGGCTTTAAACCCATGTGGCACTGTGGCTCTGAATGCCAATATCAGGGTGTTGTCATATCTGAGTTCCTAGGCTTGATCCTTGGTTTGGTCCATGATGAAAATTAACTTATCTATATTGTCTCCGCTCTGGGTGCTGAAGTAACTTTGCTGTATCAGATTTCTTAAAAAAAAATTAAACTACTTAATAAGTGGTTGGAGTATGTTGATATTGTCTATAGGCACGAGTTTGATATATCAAAATGTATCTGAAAACCAATATGAGTTACAATATCATATCATACCAATAAATCAAACTAGATATCCATTTTCTCATAACTACCTAACAAAATAGAATTCTACAAAACTGTATCATAGTTTAAAATGCATTAGAGTGATATTCGCCCCTTCGCTTTTAAATGCCATAGAAGGAAAAGAGATGAACTGAATATCATATCCACTGTCCAATTACAAGCCCTCAAATCTATCAGTTTTCTTTTTAAAACCTATAATTTCATTGCAGTAAGGTTTATTTACTAGTGTTAGCAAGTTGTAATGTAAGCAAAGGTACATGGAGGAAAAGAGATGAAGCAAATAGCATATCCACATTTCCAGTTTTGATATAGTGAAAAGTAGTCAACAACTATTCCTTGATATTAATATCTGAAAACGGTTTACAGTATCTATATCAAAACTTTGGAATTGAATGAAACAAATGGAGCTTCATTAACTATGCTGGGCCAATGTTGATTAGAGAAGGGGTTGCTTGCAGATGCAGCCGGGATCAATGGCTTAACCTTCTGAGGCATGGAGAAGCTGGATATAATAAACTATTCTGGTTACCCATCCTATGATCAGAATTTGCTTAACTTCTGCATCGCATACCAAACATGCTAACAATTGGGCAATCAAGCTCCATTTTCAGTACTTGTTATAAATTTATTTTCATAATTTAAAATGAAGCCCTTTCAAATACATGGCTACTGATAACTCAAGCCACATGCACCAGCTTTGCTTTATATCAAAAAAGTTAAAGGTGGCAGTTTAGCACCTCAGGCATCAATATATTGCAATGTCCAAAACAAAGAAATAAAATATCAGCAGCTAATGAATTGGACCAATTTCTAACATATACAAATATTGTAGCAATATTTGGACACACATTGTATACAATGTTTTTCTTTTTTACAGTTCTACTCACCAAACATCGATCCCGCTAAAGAAGGATCACCAGCGCCTAAATTTTAAGCTGATAATAACAATAATTTATTTGATCAGTGCTACAGCCTTTAGACTATATGTTTGTGAAATAGATATTATGTGATAACTTCCGACTGTTCTTTGATTTGCCTTATCAGTTTCATGTCATCTTATTAATAGTTCCCAATAAAATTCAAGTATTAAGAGGAACTTAACAAAAGAGGGACAAGACCGTGGCCCACTACAGTAGTCTATGTATAAAAGATTAGTTTACCAGTTATAAACTGTAATTTGTAGTGATAATGACTAATGATTATATTAAGAATATAAACAAATTTTAATAAAAAACATATTTTATTTCTAAAATTACAGCATCATTTGGTTGCTAATTACATATATGTTTATACTATATAATATTTATTATATACTATGTTAATAATTGCATATTCACTATATTACTTTAATTATAAAAAAATAATTATTGTGATAAATTTATTGTTAACAATGATGATTATATAAAAGAAGGTTCCTCCCTGAATAACTTAACTGAAGACAGACAGCCAAGTATATTAAAAATAAAACTAACAATACTCCCCTTTACCCAATATCAAGGCAGAAAATCACAGCTCACACAGATTATTATAAATAATAATTAATTGGAAATACTTAATCTTCATAGTAATTTTACTGATTGAAAATAAAAAATATAGGTATATAATTAATCTTCAATCTCATAGATAGAGGATTGTTATTCATAAACATTTATTTGAGCCATACTACAGTAATGCATCAACAACCCTGCTCAATCTCGACGTAGTCTCTGTCCTCCCCGGTGAGACCCGCCTACGTATTTTTATGAAGGCGACTAATTAAATGAAGGAAGGTTACCTTATAATACAGTATAGTGTCACGAACGTTGTCAGGCAACTAACTACAGGGTGGTCACGTTTCGGATGAGTTTTTCGTAAGTTTCAATAGTTCGAATATATTCATGACGGCACACATCCAAAAATTGAGGAATTTTATTCTAATATTTCAACACTAATATATTTTCATTATGAATAGTAACTCGTCGACGTCAAAGAATCTTAGAACCCATCGAAAACATGTCGCAAGTTCGATACCCGACCATAGGTAGGAGCGCACCGGTTACTGCGGGGGGCCGTAGGGGCTGTACCCGCCGGGAGGGGGGTACTGGGGCGCGGGGGGGTGCTGGTAGGGCTGGTACTGGTGGGGGGGAGGCATGCGCGCGTGGTGGGGGTACGGGAGGGTCGCGTACGGGTTGTAAGTGGCCGGCATCGGCGGCGCGTAGTACGCGTACGGAGTACCGTACGGCAACGGCATTCCTGCAGAGAAAAAAATAATTGTTAATTTCAACAATCTTTATATACCCTTATACAGGTAGTGCATCACACGAGAACCAGAAGCCTGAATTTGGTGCACCCCTCTACGACTATTGATGTCATAGTGTTATTTCATAGAATTTCATTTGGCATACACTCATGAGTTCATTATTGTTAATTCATAACTCAATACATAAGGGATACATCGCACATGTCTCAACCTATTTACTTGCTATGTACAAACGGCCACACTGTTAACTGTACATTAAAGATGGAGCTGAGAGAAATTCGATATATATTGAATACTACAACCAAATTCGATGAAGAATGTTTACTAACAAAGCGTAGCTTAGCGACCAGGGACAGGTAGATACTAATAACCTTTCTAAACTTTAAAGTAGAAAGGAACAACAAACTTTCACACGGAGTCGGCTTATATTATGCGATCGATTTAAAAAAGTTTTATAGTAATTATAAGGCACGCACTGAATTGACTCAAGCCGGGCCTAATCTGCGTTGACGAGCTTCGATTCGTTTAAAATTTCGATATTTAGAGGTCTGAAATAACTATAATTAATAGCAAATAAAAATAATGATTCAATGTAATAATAATAATGTCCAAAAAGATTAATTCACAGTATAAATTGGAACATAACTTAGTGATGAGGTTGCCGTAGATTTTCTTAGCGCACTTATGTGTTGCTACATAAATTATAAAATATCCACCTATTGATGTTGGAACCAAAAAATAAACATTTTGACAGCGCCTAAAAATAAAATAAAATGATCATGTGTAAGGTTGATTTACCCTCCATCGTTGAATATATATTTTATGCTTGCTTGGAGACAATTTGAATGAAGTACCAGCCTCCATACAAAAAAAGTTCTTCTTTAGCTTGCAATATATTACTCAGTATTAGTCTATGGTAGTCAAGGGCAAATAAACAAACAATAAATTAAATATTTTATAATTGCTGTCTGGTCTCTTATTATTGAATACATGAATACGTATATTTTACTAAGAAAAATAAAATTGACAATGCGACTCCACACACACCCAGTTCCGGAGCTCAGTTTAAGCCTAGAGTATTAACACAGAACATACTCTGTAGTATTATGTTCCTTGGTCTATGGTTTGGTAACGTATTTGGGAATCCTTTAGTATAGGAAGCGTTATCTAGTTGTATTGTTGATCGAAGGTTTTGATAAAAAAAATACCTTTTAGAGGGTTTTAAGAGTAGACCCTCGTATTGAAACATAGATTTGTTGACAAGTATATTCATTACATTTTATAAAAAGATCATTTTCAAAAGTCGAAAGCAAACGACTCTTGCCGATTTAACCCGAATGGATAGTATTATATTAGGAAATTAAGTTACATTCATCAGCCTAGTTCATAACTGTCAACGTCAAATGTGAGTCTCTATGCTGTGATGAGTCAGCAAAATGTGTGCAGTAGACAGTGTGACCATTTGTAGGTAGTGCTAGTGCTTTATAGTGCTAGTTTAACCCATTTTCCCATTGAAATTAAATTTGACTAGGGTTAAGGAAAAATTAGGGCAAAACATATTCCTGCATCTTTATAGTATGCTATTGTGAATTTGTAAATATAAACAATCGATAATTATGCTTAATAATTTTTATGACTCGAATATTCGTTAAAAAAGCTTAATAGGTATTCTGATAGGACGGTACAGTCTAGTGAAAGGACTCACCTTGTGGCTGCACGGGGTAGGGCAGCGCAGGGGCGGGGGCGGCGGCAGGCGCGGGGGCGGGGGCGGCTGCGGGGGCGGGGGTGGGCGGCGGAGGGCGCGGGGGCGCCTCCTTGCGGGCCACCTCCGGCTGAGGGATGAATAATGTAAAAAAAACCCTATGCAGCGATATGACGCGGAAAGCAACTAGTCTTTTGAAACAAAAAGGTAGTTTCGGTAGTAAAAAATAATTCATGAAATTGCATTCTTGCACGAATAATTGAATCGTAATAAACACAGAGATTCTGATTATGAGTTTCATAATAGCACGATTATCTTAAAACTAAAAATCATGATTTTTTTGTCTGTATATCGGGACGTGTTTTAAACCATTGTGTGACGTCACTGTGTCAGATTAGAGAAGAAGTGTCAGATTATCCTAAAGATATATCTATTAATTATAAATCAAATTCGTAGATCAATTCAAAGATATAAATGAGCGACCATCTGGCAACCCTAGATGGCATCGTCCTGTTTTATTGACATCTTTTAATTTCAACTCTGTGCATCTGTTTTGTGTACATATAACAATTACGTCATGAATATGACGGACAGCGTTTTCGCGGGTATAAAAACAGATTAAATTTTGATTTCATTGTAGGCAGTAAAAAGTATTAATTTTCCCGACTTTTTCGACGCATCTCGACGCTCCCAAGATTTGAAAACACGAGCAAAAATAAAATGAGTAATCGAATGAATCTTATTTAATAAAAGTACAAGGTCCTAGCAGTTTTCCTGCGACTTCGCCCGCGTAAATCAGTGGTCACGTCATCCAGAATTCTTTCCTGCCTGTAACGTGCATCATACCTCTTGGGCGGGGGCGGGGGCGGGGGCGCGCGCGGCCTCCTGCGTGAGGTCCTTCAGCAGCTCGTCCTTCTCGGTCTTGCGCGCGAAGCAGAAGTCGGACACCTTGTTCTGGAACGCCACCAGCAGCTGCGGGACACGCGGGATTAGTCGGACGCGTGGACGTATATACGAGCACTCAATGGAACATTCACCGACCACTTCAAAACTCGCGAGGGGGACTCGAACCCTTCTCGACTCCCGCGATTCGTCGGACTCGACGACTTCGTCGAATACTCTATTCATTTCGCTCCTAGAGGGCGTTTCCCCCGACGTTCAGGCGATCCGCCCGAGCGGCCGAAACGAGTATCGGGACGAATATTTAAAATTTTCGACGCCCCCACCGATGAATATAAGTATTTAATGAAAAAAGAAATCGAATCGGCATCGGGGACGCAATCGACGTTCAGAAAAGGGGAGGCGGAGCGCGTCACCTGCGTGAGGTCGTTGTAGAACTTGCTGCCCTCCTGCAGGTTGGCGGTGAGGTCCTGGTAGGCGTCGTAGGCGGCGCACAGGCGGCCCAGCACCTCGTCGCGGTCCGCGCTGGGCCCGCGCGCCTCGCTCAAGGCCGAGTGGGCCCGCTGGATGCGGGCCACCACCGCCTCCTGCTCGGCCAGCGAGTCCTGCACCCGTTGCCGCAGCGGCGCCAGCAGCCGCGCGACGGCGGGCGCGGCGACGGCGGGCTCGTCGACGCCGCCGCGGTCCTGCAGCTGCCGCAGGAACTGGTCCCGCAGCTCCACGCGCGCCCCCTTCAGCTCCTGCTCCAGCGAGTCGCGCTCCCGCTTCAGCGCCTCCACCTGCACACGCGCGCGCGCCGTCGCTTATGCCGCTTCGCATTAAACAGCGAACGACATTCACGAACGGTATACACGAATCGTGTCCTGTTTTTCACTCGAACTTACCGTTGACTCGTTCCCGCTAACGATGTGCACGAACACCGCGCCGGTGGACGGAGTGCGCAGTGCATGCACTCTATTGTTTTGAATTAATTCTCTCAGCGAGTTTTGCTGAGGAAATCGACATCTATGGCAAAATTTATTTTATAGCGCTACCTTTTATATTATTTGAGATAAATAACGATCGTCCGCGCCGCTCTCCTATGGTTCTTTGGAATTCCAAAATTTATTTAGTTTGTCGCGTTGGGGTGGGTCCGACTTCGAAATTTTTATCCCAGTTCCCGATTATCGATCGAGCCGAGCGTGCATACGCGTAACGCGAACGACAATACAATATTAAATTGAACCGAAGCCGATCTATTGATGATCCGGGAATGAGGCTATGGAATTAAACGAATCGAAACGAAACCATCGAGTTTCATCTTATTTGTGTCCCCAAGAACGTTAAAAATAATAAGTAATAAAAATATGTTTATGAAAAGAAAATATGTTATTAAAATAACTAGAGAAGCGGGGGACTAGTTGTAACAAGCATTTTTGACCTACCCAAAAGTGGAATATTAACTTGATTTTAACCCAACCTACTATTTAGTACGGAATGTATCATATAAGCTCGGTTAATATCCCGCCGGAAAGCGCAGGAAGCGGTGTTGTGGAGGCACCCCGATAAAGCCTGGTAACGGATGTCTTTGGTTTACACGAAATTGATTAGCATAGATTTCAGATTGTTTAGTAGTTGTGGATTTATACAAATACATTTAGTATTTGTTTAGTTTGATTATAATTAATTGGAATTTCACATCAATTAGGTGTTTTTTTTTAATAAAATTTATTTTAAAAAAAACGGCTGTGCGGTATGTTGTAACACTTTTACGGGGCTAGTTGTAACATGTTTACGGAAGACTGATTTCGTATTAAAGCTGATTACTTAAGAAAAAGAGATTTTTGAAATTATAAATACCGTGAACATAAAGTTCCTTTTTTATATTTTTCCATTAGATTAAAAATAAAACTAAAAAATCTAAGTTTGTAATAACATGTCTAAGGTTTATAATGCTAAATTCGAAATTAATTAAAAGTCTGATTACTAAAGTAGTTAAAATTATAAATGGCTGCGAGCCTAAAATTCCTAAATTAAAGATGAAACTCAATACTTTAAACCTGCGTGAGCGGGTCTGAAGTTTTTCATGGCAAACAAATTTTATTCAAGATCGACAGATGAATAGTCGTCAATCGGAACGGTGCTGCTAGATTTAGTAAATACCAAACGAAGAGGCTCTGAGAGCCAAGACACTGGAGGCGAGGACCGCATCGTGGACGTACCTCCTGCATCAGCCCCCGCAGTTCGACGAGCGGCCCCTCCTCGTCGTCGGCGGCGGCGGCTGCGGGGGCGTCCGGCACGCCCGCGCTCAACTCGCCCTCGCTGCCGCTCAGCAGGCTGATGCTCTGCCAACATACACATCGTCGGACGTCGGCCCTCCTCTATCTTTCCCGATATTCAGGGTTCCCGGACCCGAAGGGTAAAACGGGAACGCTAACACCGAGACTTCGCCAGGCCGGACCTCGTGAACCGCGAAAGGCTTGAGATTTTACAGATCGCCTGTTTCTGTCGCCGCTCCGACGACAAATAGTGGGAGACATAGAGAAATAAATAGTTAGGGGGGCGACTTTATTTCTTTGCTCGTTTTCTTACGTTCTTCCGAATGATCATTCAGGTAGCGGGGCCGCGCGGGTCGCGGGAGTCGTACGTACGTCCTTGTGCTGCTGGAACTTCTGCTGCACGATCTTGTCGGCGCGCACGGCGTTGTCTATGATCTGGCGGTACTTGTCGGCGTTGGCGCGGAAGGCGGCCGTGAGCGCGGCCGAGGCGGTGCGCGCCCACCGCGGGCCCAGCTGCGAGCGCAGCGCCGCGTCCGCCTCCGCCTCCTCGCGCAGCATGCGCTCCGTCTCGTCCAGGATGTCCTGCGAATGTCATCGGCCGCTCGTTTGCTCACTTGTGAAATAACTCACGTGTGGTGTATCGATACAGGCTTAATATGAACGAACGTATTACTATTTATCTGCCCACGCTCCGAATATTAGGCACTCGAACGGGCACAAAAGGGGGTAAATTTTTTCCTAAATGCCCGATTATGAACAGAAAAGCGACGCCAAAAATTAAGATTTTTGTAGGTTCTAAAAATACACGTGATTTGGATGGAGGGGGGGGGAGTCTTAAGCCTTCCGATGTATCACCGAAGGGAAAAAAGATTAAAAAAATGTTGAAATAATCATCACGTGATTAATGCCCCAAAGTCGAAAAAAAATCTCCGCCGTCGATCCGTAAGTCCCCAGATGTAACTTTCTTTAGCTTGCATGACGGCAAAACAAGTTTATATTTGTTTCTAGTATTCAAATTGTGTACATGACTATGTTAATATTTTTTCTAACATAAAGTATTGGGAGGCCCCTGTTAATATCCCTAATTCTTTGAATGTACCTCTAAGTGATGTTCTTGAACCTAATTGATAAATATTGATAAACAGAACACCGTATGACAAGACGCTATGGAAATAACTATCTAAACTAAAGTATACTGTCAGGAACAATAAAGAATCAACTCGAGCTTTTCCCGATTAATTTCTGTTTGCTCTGCTTTTACATGAGGTAACATGAACTTTATAAATTCCTTTTTTTTATAATTTAGCTGAAGATTATTTACAGTAAACCAGGTCATAATCTGTGAAAGAACATTGTTTACATTTTCAAAGTAATTTTTACATCGATCAACATTAAAAATTAACGAAATTTCTTCATCTGCACATAATACTATGTCGCATAAAGTTTCGACAAAAAATGGCAAATAATTTTTGTATGTTAGAAATAGAAAGGGACCTAGAATACATCACCAGGGTACCTCCATTTTCAATTGCAAATCAGATTATTTCGTACCGTTTATATCTTTAGTTTGAATTCTGGAACTGAGGTGTGACAGCATTAGTTTATTTATTTATTTATTATTATACATACACTTGCAAGTTCACAGATTTTATGTCCAACACACATGCAAGTTATACAAAATGTCAAGAATAATAAGAAATGTCAAATTAAAATTTGATAAATCCATTAGCTTAGCTTAAAAGTCAAAATTAAAATGATAAAATAAAATATAGAGAAATAAATTACAATTTGGAACACTACAATACATGCCAATTCAAATAAATAATGTCAGTATGAATACACAATGCCAACTATATCCTGCTGCTGAATTCTATAAAATTTAGAAATTGTCTAGTCATAGCTACTAGTTGTCTTACACCATCCACAAATAAATCAGATTCCTCGTGATGAGCGAGCATGTCACCGATCAGACGCATTGCGCGTACTGTGGGTGCCTGCGAAGCATAAACAGTACGAGTGAGAGGTCGAGGGAGAAGACGCGGCATTCGTCGTGGTTTCACTAAACCTGCAGCATCGCTCGAAACACGCATGGGAACCGAAATGCTCACCTTTTCTAATATATCTGGGCAATCCAGTTTGTTATAGAGCACAGAGAGGTAATGCGCAGCGAGAAGAACTTTTCTTCGATGTGCTAGGGTCTCCAGATTAAGCATGCCTGATACAAATAGAGACGGGTACAAATACGGGTAATAGCCGTAGATTTTTTTATATAGCCAGCGTGCATACTTTCTTTGTAGTCTCTCAATCATGAGTTCATATTTATCTTCGTGCGGATCCCAAATAACTGCTCCATACTCAAGCTTACTGCGAACATAGGCATTATATAATACACTAGCCACGGACATATCACTGAAATCGGATGATGTTCTTATAATAAAACCTAAAAGCTTATTTGCAGATTTACTAATATTAATCACATGTGTGTGAAAGTCAAGTTTATAGTCTAAAGTTAGTCCTAAATCGCGAATTTTATTTACTCTTTCCAGAGATACGTCAGATAATTTATAATCCACTTTTATAAAGCTTCGTTTTCGCGTGAAAGTAATAGTTTTACATTTGGTGTTGTTAAAAGGGAGATTGTTATTACTGCTCCATTCCGATACAGCATTTAAGTCCATTTGCAAACTTAGTGTATCTTCAGCGCCTCTAATACCGAGATAAAGTTTTAAATCATCAGCAAAAAGGAGGCATCGCGCTGTTTTGACAGTCTCGGGCAGATCGTTAATCATGATCAAGAAAAGCGTCGGCCCAAGCGTACTTCCTTGGCTTACTCCAGATCTCGTATAGTACTTTTCTGATACAAATTTTCCTAGTCGCACAAACTGGCGACGATCTCTCAGATAATTTGCAAAAAAGTGGAGAAGTTTTGGTACAAAACCCACCTTTGCCAATTTTTGCAACAAAATGTCATTGTCTACAAGATCGAATGCTTTCTTAAAATCAAAGTAGGCCGCATCCACCTGCTTACCACCATCCATCTCAGTGCTAACATAATCCACGAGTGTTGTGAGATTAGTGACAGTAGAACGCTCTCGGCGAAATCCATGTTGACTGTCATGTAGAAGGCTACTGATTTGCTGGCTAATATAGTTATTTAATATAGATTCAAACACTTTCGCAAACACAGAAAGCACAGCAATTGGTCTATATCCGGTAATGTCGGGGCTTGGTTCACCTTTTGGAATCGGTATGACGCATGAGAGCTTCCAACGATCAGGAAATTTTGATTGCTCCAAAGACAAATTATATAAATGTAGTAGTGGAACGTTAAGTACTTTTATGCAATCCTTGATAAAGAATATAGGGATCCCGTCAGGGCCCCCAGATGATCTCGTTTTTAGACGTTTTACCGCTGCGTTCAGATCCGCTTTGTCCAGTGTTGGGACAACTACTGATCTTGAATCGATGATGGAATATGCAGCGCGAGCTGCATCATCGGGATTCAAGCGCGGTTCCTCATCCAAAAATACCGATCCAAAATATCGCGAGAATGCATCCGCAGCTGCTTGCTCCGCAGTTGAAGGGCAGTGCCTTTGATACTATAATAATTTAGCTTCATTACCAGTGTTCGATGCTCAACGAGATCAAATGCCTTGTGTACGGTGAATGACCGTACATTGTACTAATTCAGCGTTTATGTAAATGTGATTTATTTTATAGTTTTTAATTTGCACATAAGCAATATTTTTCAGTTCACAATTAGCACTTGTCGCGTGTACTCAATATTATAATTTAGCATATCATTTAATATCAATAACCTGTTTATCAATCAATCAAATATATTATCATTTTAAGTTGTAAGGAAACACCATACACCTTGGATAAGTCACAAATCCCAAGCCTTAAATATATGTTTAAGAAGTTCTACACCAGCATCAGTAGTAGAGTAACCTTTTGTGAAATCATATTCAACTGCCTATTACTATAGTTTGAGTTTTAGATAGATTAACTATTATATGATTTACTCCAGGTATTGATGGGTGACAAATTAGAAATCTGATACCTGAAATGCCACCACACAGCACTTACTTTTACGATGCTTCTTTTACTGTTCGGGCACTGCGTCTTTGGAACTCTCTCCCAGTAAAAATAAGACTCTCGCAAACATTGACTCTTTTAAAATGCGCGTAAGGGAATTTTACCTACCACATTAGTTATTTACTGCAAATTAACTGCTTTATATTATTTTATTTTTTCTTTGACAGACGATAGTTTTGTTTGCTGTATTTATTTGGATAGCATGTATATATATTTTATTATGTGTAGTACCTATATATACGCCTATATAAGTATATGATATGAAGTTATGTTTGTTTAATGTATCTTTATTTAATATTTATAGCTAGTTAATGATGCCCGAGTATAGATCTGGAGATCATCAGCATAAAGGTAAATCAGCGCAAAGCAGAAGAGATAAGTCGTTATCCTGAGCAACACCGGCATCAATATTACACCACGCAGACATTGTATCGTCACCACGAATGCGTCGCCGGCGCCCTGGCAGGTAACTTCGAAACCAATCAATTGTAGCCGGAGATATATTAAGGGAAGCCATGACACCAAGAAAGATGTCACAATCAATGGAGTTGAAGGTGTACTAAAATTAAGTAACGTAAACAGCGGGAGCTGTTCGTTCTCCATACCTACCCCGTTAACATCATCGGTAATGTTAATCAGCGCAGTACTTGTGCTATGGCCCGAACGGAAACCAGACTGAAATGTATTGAGGATTTGGTTGGAAGTAAGGAAAGCAGTAAGCTGCCGAGAGAAAAGTTTCTCAAGAACTTTGGAAAGAAATCGAGGAATAGAAATAGGACGATATTCTGAGAATTCGGAAGAATTTGTTTTTTTTTTTATGGAAGTCAAATGACGTTCGCATCTTTGTAGGATGTGGGAAAAACTCCAGTTAAAACTGAAGTACTCACTGCACTGGAAGTAATAGATGAAATAGCTCTCTTAACATCACAGGCCGCAAATTGATGCATGAAAAAAAGGCGAGTTGAGAGTTGGTAAATTTGAAAGACAATACAGATTCTCTGTCTTATAGGATCCATCAATAGGAGACGAGGCGGAGGAGTGATTATTAAATTGATTAATATCAAGTCGAGGACAATTATAGCTACGTATTTTACCAACTCGAATAAGAGACCGTAGAAACTTCGTGAAATGATTCGTGAATATGGCGTCTCTGGGCGTCCCTAATCACAGTTTACACTTATTTCTAGCGCGATCGTGTTTCGTCTACTTTCACTTCGAAGGTGGAGTTTAAATTTAGTTTTAATCCTATACCTCGCCGCCATCGACTCCCGAATATTCCCCGTCGACCGGGGAAATATTCACGAGGAACAAAATAAATCGTCGATCGCGTTCGCCGGCGGTACCTTGTTCCGCTGCAGCAGGTCGGGCAGGTCGGCCACGAGGCGCGCGAGGGCCGGCAGCCCCCCCTGCGCCCGCACCGCCGCCGCCTTCTGCGCCAGCGCGTCCGGCAGCCGGCCCGAGTGCGGCCGCTCCAGCGAGGCGGGCAGGCCCAGCGCGGACAGCGCGGCGTTGAGCAGCTGCGTGCCCTCCCGCAGGCGCGCCACCTCCGCGCCCGCGCCCTCCGCCACCCGCGCCGCCGCCGCCCGCTCCGCCTGGTGCACGCCCAGCGGGACCAGCGCGCCGAACAGATCTCGCCCCGCCTCGGCCCAGCGCTGCGGCGGCTGCGGCGGCGGCAGCGGCGCGGCCACGGGCGCGCGCGCGACGGGCTCCAGCTGCGAGGGCTCGGGCACGCGCTCGTGGTAGATGAAGTCGTTGTCCCGCCGCGCCTCCTGCAGGTGCCGCGCCGCCCGCGCGCCCCCCTCCTGCAGCAGCGCGCCGCCCCCCGCGCCCGCCCCCGCCAGCTTCAGCTGCTCCACCGCCACCTGCGCGCGCCCCACCCGAGGTCATATCGTGTCCACCGAGGGCGGGCGACCGACCCGGACGTTCGGTCTGTCCGTCCCCGACGGAGGGCGAGTATTCGACGATTCCGGCCGAAATATATGATATTATTATAATTTTCAAAACCGTCCCCCCTCCCGGGGTTTCGATCGCGCCGGCGACCCGCCCGGCCGATTTGTTCCCCTTCGATCGCCCGGGATCGTGCGTTCCACATTTTCGGGCCCCGATTTAAACTTTTCGTTTCTTTGAATCGCCCGGGTGGGGACGTCCGTTTTCTTTGTGTTTTCTTTTCTAACGTTCGAGGTCGACTCGTGATATTGAATAATATTCGATGAGATATAAAACGCGAGTCGAGGAAACGGATGTAATGCACCGAAAAATATTACATCCACTTCCTCGACTAGACGCGCGCGACTCTATGAAATGCAAAAGGAACCCGTTTCCGCTTTTCGAACCCAGAAGATCGACTACTAACAACACGGTGCGTGTACCTGCAAGCGGGCGATCTCCTCGCCCACGGCCTTGTTGGCGCGACACACGAGACTCTGGTAGTACTGCGCCAGTCCCCGGAACGCAGACTGCTTCGCCTGCATCTATGAACGAAACATAATCCCGTCCTCCTAAACTCCCTGTCGATATTATCTGACTTTTCGTCATTTAAGCAAATTTTATTACTTAACAGGGTAGTTTCGGTATTCGGTAATTCACAAAATTGCACAAAAAAACTAAAATTTCTGAACATTGATGAGAATACGCTCTGTAGTAGCAAAAAGTAACAAGTGCTTGAAAGATTCGTCAGTCCTGTCAGGTCCTGAGTAGTTGAGTAGCTTTTTTAAGCATTTTGTATTAAGGACACTATTATTGTTTTATTGACATCTTGAAGTTTGTCTCTTTGTTTTAGTTCTGTTTTATTGATATCCAAGTAGCTCGGTGACGTAGAGGATAAGCGCCGCGGCCCGCGATCGTTGTCGTTAAACAACTTTCGCAAGGGTCAGTCGCGAGATGGGCGACCAAAAAATTATTATCTCGAGGTACTTCGTGCTTCAGTCGTTTATACCCTCCAATTCGCATTGGGCCAACGTGGGGGGTCATGGCCCATCCTCCTTAACCATCCATAAGGAAGGCCTGATATAATGATATCTTTAAATCTTCTATTCTATACATTTATTTTATGTACCTATATATTGGAACGAGGTCATGTATAAAAATAAAAAAAATGAAAACCAAACTAGTGTTATATAACAAGTGTGAAGGTCCGTACTGTGGGTATCCAGTCGCGGTCCCAGAGCGCGCGCTGCCCCTCCCTCTGGGCGCAGCGCAGCGCGTCCGCGTACAGCTCCTCGCACTGCGCGCACACCTTCGCCACCATGCTCTCCTTCATCTCGTCTGACAACCGATGGAAACGATCACTCAACCTCCGGCTTATTTCAAATAAAAGATTGTACGAGTACAATACACTGCTAAACGTGGAGTTCCCTAGACGGGCCGAAGTCATACGACCGACGAACCGAGCACATCACTATATAGAAGACAAACAGGCGATAGAAAACTCATATAGCCTGCGGTCGACACGATATTCCGATGGAAAAGTTCGTCTTACAAACCTATTTAACGATATCCTAAGTAGTCATAACCTTGGAATGGTGTTTACTGATCTTGAGATAACCTTTGATCATGATAAGCACGCAATGAAATTTAAAAGCGTACCGGAATGCGGATGTAGCACATTATTATGGGCATGTGGCACGATCAATATCTATAACACATTCAGTGTCAGATAGACTAGCTGGACTTATTGCACATCTGCTGATCTATCTGGCAGTTTCCCTTTGCTTTCTAACATTGTCATGAACTGACGACGTAGTTCTTATACTCAATAATGTAAAAGTGCTACATAGACCTACAAGAACGGGAAGTAACGTTAGAGTAAAGCAGCTTATGTATAAGTAGAACAAAGACTCAGTTAATATCCTGTAATTTCACCTCCGACGCTCAAGATGATCCAGGCATTATGCTACATGGCAAGGGTAAAGGTATCCTTACCTTTTGTACACCTGTACAAAATAGCAGGGATCTCTATTATCTGGCAGCAAATGGGCAGCTAAAAAGAGACACCAGTAAAAGCTTACACACACAGCTACAAAAAGCTGAGATCAGCTAGTGACACTTAAGAATATGCAACAAGCACAGAAGAGGGAGCTTTGAGGTGCATTCGTGTTTTGATTTTAGTCACGTGATGAGCAGACCCGATAATTATGTTGTTAATTAGTCCCTTTTCATGGTCACACAGAAGAGCGGAAAGGAAGACCGACCGACACCGTCAACCGAATTTCAGAAGCACAAAATTAGCCTCACTCTTAGGGAGGATACCAGCCAGCCGATTACATGCTGCTACAGAGAGAGAATACGAATGAGTTACATTTTCATGATAATAAAGTTACCTCGAATACATTTGTACGCGATGACCTCCTGGGCTTGCGCGAGCATCAGCTGCGACAGAGCGTGGAGGGTATCAGGGTTAAGATCTGGAGTTGTCTCTTGGTGGACAGCCATCATTATGTTTGCCTTCAGGTATGCAAATACACCCGCCGCTTGCTGTTCACAAAACATTGCTTTTTGATTAGTCTATATTTGTATATTGTAAAATATTAAACACCAAATATTTGTAAAAATAGAGTATGGAGTATCTTTGTTTTATGGAAAAAATATTTTTCGGATATATACTAGAATATGAAATTAAAAAATTAAATTCAATTAGTGTTCATTATGAAAAAGACTTTTGTCTAATTTTGTGAGAAATGGTAAACTTACAAATCTAAAAATAAAATTCAAAGTAACTCTGGTCCACCCCTTTCCCCATGAATATTAATATTATAGAAAAATGTATCACCTTTATAATTTTTCCATACAATTAAGTTTTGTGACTTTTTTTCAAGTTTGTTAAAAAACAATGCTAATATGTTATAAAAAAAAGAAAATGGCTAATTGCATGTTTTTACACAGTAGTATAAGTAAGGGTAAGTTTGGTCTATTGTAACTAACCACTAGATTTTAATAACAAAGCTATACTTATAGTTTGAATTTAGTGATTGCTTATTTATTTAACACAGTTCTCTTCTGTTCTGTTAATACAATTCATTAATTTCTATGAGGTGCACCACAGAAACAGTGTACCGTTAACATATGAAGATAATTAACTCAGTAAGAATAGTAAATTCACTTAAAACAAAAAGTCATTAATTAGAATAATGATTTCATAAAAATACACTTTAGATCACTTAGTCTAATGAATATGATTAAATTACAATTAATATTATTAAAATCATGAGAAGCATACAAAAGTAAATACCCACATTAAGAATGAGACATACGAAATAAATAAATAATAATAGGGGTATAGACATCACTTTTTTATTTTTATTTTATTGATATACATGAAATATATCTAAAAAATCATATATAAAAATGTATCATTCATATAAGTTAATATAAAAATGAATTTAATTAACAAAATTTTACCCAAAGAAGTCGACTTCTGTCATGGCGTCCCTATGACGTCACGCCCCTTTTAATTCTGTATGCATAAGGTTTAATTTTCTAAGTTCTGGTATAAGTAAGAGGGGTGTGAAATCACGCGCTGTTTGCAATCACAACAAGTATAAATCATAATTAATTTAAGTAATAGGTATTACAAAAATAATAAGCTTAAAAGTGTCATTATATCCATAATAGTATATTAAACACTACTAGAAATAAAAAAGTATTTATTTTCATTTACTGTCTACACCCATATTAAACCAATAAGAATAAGTTTCAATTGATTAATGAATAAAAAAATCAATAAAAAATACTTAAAACTCTTAAACAGATGTTCTAATATTACTGAAATAATTTAAAACTTTCAGTCTAAAAGTTTTGAAATCATCTTTGAGCACATCTAAATTCACAATCACAACCGTAACCTACCTGCAACAGTTTCGCAGCTAGTTTTAGTGAGTCCTCTGTGTCGAGGGGTTGCTGTGCAGCAACAGCACTCTGCATCGCCCCAATGTTAAACAGCACACACATTCGCTCGTACGCCAGTGAGCTGATTGCTATCAGAAGTACATCGACAATTTAAACAAATATGAGAGATAATGTATTTACATATGTAGGTACATATAGAAAACAATACATACTATTCTCAAATTTCTTCAATTAATTTTATACTTTAATATATTGAATCTCAAAATAATAATATGTTGACCAATAAACATTGTTTGTCATTGTGTTGTAATCACTACACAGTGTAAAACAAAGTCGCTTTCTCTGTCCTTACATCCCTATGTATGCTTAAATCTTTAAAACTATGCGAACGATTTGATGCAGTTTCTTTTCATAAATAGGGTTGATTCAAAAGGAAGGTTTTTATATATAAAACAAGACCACACAGGCGAAGCCACTGGCGGAAAGCTAGTAATCAAAATAAACTACTAAAATATAGGTATGGATATTTGTCAATTTTTAATACCATGAAATGTAAACTGCCACGTGTTGGTTAATACCTATATTATCTCAAAATTTTGAGTGGATCTATTTATCACAATTCATAACTATTAAAAATCTGAGCTAACACAATATAAACCTATCACATTATAGAGGTTTTGTAGTTTCAATACCATTTTGAAAAAAGACACAATAATATTAGCACTATTATTTATTCTGGTTCCTAATGGAATTTACATTATGCATTAGATATGGATATTTTTGATAAGCATTTTATGTAACTTCATTAATTTATGGTAAAATAAATAATATTATTTCATTTCTAAAGAAAAAAATATTGATCTTATAGATGTGGGAAAGCAAACACACAATAATGAGCATAACTAAAATAGCTTTTAAGAGCAGAATAACTTTTTCAAAATTTCTTATGATCATTCATTATAGTAAATATGGTAACCCTAATGCTATTAATACAGATGTTAGAAGTATAATAAATGTATATGAAATAAAAATATATATTATGCATTCTTAATACAAAATGCTTTAAAAATCCACTTGGCCCCTGGTACCCTGAGATGTGAATCGAACCCACAACCTTTCGCAATCCGAGCAACTGCTCTTTTTATAAGGAGGATTTTTTTAAGGATTTTTATTAAGAATAATTTTCAGTATGCCATTGTGAATGCAAAATTAATAAAAATATAATATATTATGCATAATAAAATAACAGATCTCCAAGAAAATAAAATAAAAATAATCCATAATTACTTACTGAGACTCATCCTTCCTCCAAAGAAGGATCCCTTGTCAAATGCATCTTTCCACTTAAAAGGTATTTGAACCTCTTGTGGAGGAATCTTGCTTTCCAGAGCCACGAGCTGATCATAGTAACTTAAACAATATACGTATCAATCGTAGTCTACCCTCTAATAATAAAGTCACTAACAAGTTGAAAAATTAAAGATATGACATCATATTTTTTATTGAATCAACATTTTGGTTTGTCATAAAAATAGGTACTGAGATACGAGAATGTCAGTTGGATTATACAATTAAGATTCAATATTGAAACACAAGTGAAGAGATGACTCATAATAAAGCAATAATGGGTTCTTACCTGTAAATAAGTTCCAGTGACGACTTCTCAAACACTTTCCATATCGCGTTAGATCTTAGGCGACTTAGTTCATTCAATGCATCGCTGTAATCCTCAGTATTCGTTCCAGAACTATATGTAGACTGAATTAAGTTTTTCAAAGGTTTAACAATATCTACGTCCGAAGACTTTTTCAACGGAACCGACAACAACTCAGCCATTTCTACAAATAAAATTCTATCACAGATTTGACAGCCACAGAGTTGCCAACTCGATACGTAAGCTGAGTGCTAGATGACATGTTGAAGTGCTAGACTGTTAGGTATAAGTTGCGCTAGAATCTTGTATAATTGAATAACACCCGTGTGACGTCATATGAAAGTAGAAAGTATAGATAGCACTAAAGGCAAGAGATAAATAATAATAACTTATTGAAATATTTATGAATAAACCCCAAAATATTGTTATAATAATTTAATAACTATTAGTGTGTTTATTAATTACATGAATTTTGGGAAAAGAATCAATTTATATTTAAATATTAAGTTACATGGAAAATAAAACAAATATGAAAAAATAGACTTATTTTGTAATAACGCGATAATAAACGGAAAAGACAGTCTTTTTAAAAATAACCAAAAGCAATAATGAAATGAGGCATTACATATATTTATTATTAGTGAAATAATGTTACTTCTTCTGAAATTTATAATAGCATTTGCTTTTACACCAATCATACATAACAAGGAAAACCAAAACTTCACAATTACAATCGAAACCAACAAAAACGATGTGTGATCGCAACACAACCAAACAACCAGTGTTTATTTGTTAACGGTATTAATATTTGAACGAAGTTTCGTCACCCAAATGGTTCCCAGATGTATTGGCAATTTGAGGGGATTATATATCCAAAAAATAGTGCTAAACATATTTTTTTTCACTAAAGCAAAAATAAATAAAGAATAAATTAATATATTTTTTTATTGTAACCATTTAATCTAACTAAAGCGATTATTCTTCAGTGTCAGAATCATCTGGAAAGGATTTTTTCATATAGGATCGGACGTTGGACAATGAAAGATTGAAATATCCAGATTTCTAATTTATTTTTTAACGTAGAGACGTCGTTTCCCTTTCTAATCTTCTTGAAATCTCTCTGCATTATATATTTTTTACCTTACTTATAAAATGAGTTAGCAGAAAATAAATCAAAATTACTAAATATTGCTAGATTTGGTACTAGGTGTAAAAAGTCATTCAGTGCTAACCTTCTTCTTCTTCTTTTATTAATGGCTTATCTGCGAATTCGCACAATTCTGGCAATGTCAACTGAATAAATAAATTTCTACATGTAAAATGAAAATGAAATGAATGAAAGATGACGATGATGTCATGTCAGTGCTAACCTTATGAAGTTAGTGCCGCATCTAGCACCGAAAGTGCTAAGTTAGCAACACTGGACAGCCATGACATGACAGACATGGTCAGTTTGACGTAAAACAATAGCAAAGAAAATCAAATCCCTCTGCCAATTCAATAAAAATAAAAAAGCAACTGCTAAGGACCATACATATTTCGTGTAATTAAAATAAATAATCAAGATCGATAAAATACTACTGTCGATTTTAAAGAAAAAATAATGATCATCGGCATGGTTTACATGGTCATCGTGATGACTAACAAAATTTACTGTATTCAATTGTTTTGGAACTAAGTATTGATTGTCGATGATTGATAAAAATAAATAAAATGACGTGACTTGTAAAAACACAAAAATAATTGCGTTAAATTCATTGTGTTGGAAAATCATTTTATTACGCAATGGTGATGAAAACGAAGCAGATGACCAATAAGTAAATAAGCAGAGATCGTTATTTATTTACTTAGTAATAAAGAAATATATTAGGACGTTTAGCGTTCGCGGAGTGGGCGCCCGACATGCATCCAGCGCGCTGAGTATTAATAATGGTCGTTTAGGAAAAATATTAGAATCAAGTACTTATAGTTTCTACTTATTTAGAATTTATTAGAAGCATATCAAAGCAGGCCAGGTTTTTGTAATCATATCAACTACCCAGCAGCGATATTTCCTATAATACATCGTCGAGCACAGCGCTGTCACAGCATGAGAGGATCAATCAAATAAAAGCGACTTCAAGACGCTGTGTTTTAACAAAATAGCGAATTAGGAATATCCCATAAAAGCTACGTAGGTAGTAGGTACGTAGAGCATGCGCAATGTGCGTTGTTGGCATCTTTTGTGACCGGCGCGGTACTCACTCGCTTATTCAGTAGTGGTAATCAGTGTGTACCCTAATCCGTCGCTTGCCGCCCCGCCGGTGTCGGTAACTGCCCACCATCACCTTGCTCTATTTAATTCGACTTTGTGCAGTAAGTAGAATCCGCGTACTTGCATTCGTGCGTGCAAATCGTCGTCAGCTTATCGAATAACCATTCTACTTAATTTTTCTCCTGTCGAAACTGCTAAATCACAACTTCGTAGTAAGTAGAGCAATCTGTTGCTCTCTCCTCTCTCAATACAATCGATACTGGGCAAATGTGCTTTTGTTTTGATCGTGTCTTCAATTTGTGATTTTTGGAAATACATAAATATACCTAGTTAATTACTCTCAATTGCCTTAATATCATGTTCGTTTGTTTACACGAGCTGAACATTCGGATTCATTACATTCCCATTACAAGAAAATAAACAAAAGTTCTCTAAAATATAACAATACAGAAAATGACGTCGCAGCATTAGTGTAGGTAACTAATGTAATAAACGTTTCTTATAATCTGTGGTCATGGAAAATTTATAAACAATAACGCGGCGGGTTTTGTGTGGTCGATATTATGCACTTGGCATTGATTATGCTACTACATTTATATGCTGCGTGAACACCGTAAAATATTTAGGTACCTTAGGTGGTACTACAATTGTAAAGTAGATGCAATACTTTAGTCTGGAACTCGCTCGCTTTCCGTCAACGGTTTCGCCTGCGTGGTCTCCAGCAATTCATTTAATGAGTTAAAAAGTAGTCGTATATTAAACTAGGCTAAGAATTATCCATATACCTTTCTAAATCCATTTAGAAGTTTTTGCATGAACGAGGATCAACATCATCCACACATCCATCCTCACAAACTTTCGCATTTATAATAATGGGTATGTTCCAATGTAGGTTCACAGGTTTACACTTTAGTAAAGGTATTATCGATACATTCTCTACTTAATGATTGATCTTTATAAGGTGTCATTGCAAGTCAATGACACCTTATGATATATAATTTAATATACATAAAAGTATCAACAATTAGCATGGTGGTGTGGTGTGATCGCAACGCATCCTCGCAGCCCAGCTAGTCAGCTACACATTTTTGTTTAAATAAATTTCGCTCGCGTACCTATATAATATGTTTTAGTGGAAACCCTTATATATTCTACCTACATTGTCCTCGTAAATCTTTCTTAGCACCGCCTAATACTTGAAACTGCCGCGTAAAATCGTGATTGAATTTGATTTTGGCTGATGAATGAACTCACATAGTAACACGGTACGATTTAAAAATAATTAAATATCAGAATGAATATGACAATACCACTATTGTGCAGGTGATTTAGTATTTAACAACATTAGAACGTTAACCTTTAAAGCAAAAATCGATTTCGAGATTGTAAGTCTAATCGACCTAAGTACATATTCTCTTCGCTGTAGGTTTGTAGTCTTTTGGAGGCTTAAACGTACGTTTGTACTAGCTTTTGCCCGTGACTTCGTCCGCGTGGTAAAGTTACTTTGAGTAGCATTTCTAACGAATATTTATTAGTTTCACAATAAAGTTTCATCCCCTATTTTATCCCCTTAGGGGTGGAATTTATCAAAATCCTTTCTTAGGGGATGCCTACGTAATAGTAGCTTTATGCATGCAAAGTCTCAGCCCGATCGGTTTGAAATTGACAAAGTTTCATACAAACTTTCGGCCCCTATTATTTCCCCTTGGGGGTAGAATTGATCAAAATCCTTTCTTAGCGGATGCCTACGTCATAACATCTACTTGGATGCCAAATTTCAGCCCGATCCATCCAGTGGTTTGGGCTGTGCGTTGATAGATCACTATGTCAGTCAGTCACCTTTGAGTTATATACATTTAGATAAAGCAGGGTTCGCTGATAATTATCAACAGATATATACCGATTGATATATATATCGATTGTTATTTATAATATGTATTGTTATTTTGATTGAGTATTCAGTTTCAGCTAGAAAATTAACCAACCCAATGTGACGCTAGCAACAGCTGGCCCGACATAGCAATCTTACATACTAGAAATATCGGGTTTTCCCCTAGCGTTACTGGAAATTCTCGCTCGCATACTACTTTTTTATTATTTCATAATAAATAAATGACTCAAACTTAATTTTTATTTTATATTTTGATTTAAAAGATCAAATATTAAATAAAGCAACTGGCAACTCAAAAATGTATTATAAATATCGGATTTTTGCTAATCCTTGTGTGTTTAAGTAAGAATGTAAAAGTTTAAGTTAATAATGTTGTAATTATAACATCAGCACTGCGATTCTGTTAAAATTCAAACCTGATTTTGAATTCACTCATGTGACCGAATTCAAATGAAAAAATTACATATATTCATTCCATTTTTGTATAAAAATACTAAACAACGTGTCTCAGTATATCGATTATACATCCATTCATTCATTCCCCATTCGGATGAGGGAGTGTTTAAAAAAAAAACATTAGTTCCCGAAATCAAACTTAGATATCGCTAAGCAGTGCCGGTTTTAGCACTACTGGCGCCCTGGGCGAAATTTCTTCGGCGCCCTCTAACTGCAATTCAATTTACAATCAGTTACTACTACATACTAAAAATCAGTTACTTGTCTTTTTTTTCGCCGACCCGGCCTACTTACTTGTGATCTTCCCTAAATTTAGGTAGATTGTTAAGTTAGCAGCATTAGAATGGAAAGTAGTGTTCAATCGGTTTAATTTCTCGGGAATCCCGGACTTTTCCAACCATACAGAAACAATGTGTTTTTCTATAATCGGGGATTCCCTAGATCTATCTCTTTTAATTTTTGACGAAGAAGAACACAATCAACAATTATCTTCTTGCTCGACATAAGTGGACGCTTAACAAACAAACACAATAATCAAACGTTTAACGCTACGTTACGATGTTCTTGTTCCAACTATATAGTGACATTAATTTTATTTAAAAAGTAGACATATAAATAGCGGTATAAGTAGCTGATTCATTTTTGAGGGATCACATCATTAGGTAAGTATAGATTCAATTTTACCCTAACAGGGTTGTGACATAATTGTTATCTATAACTTTGTGTAATTGTTGTAAACTTTGTGACCGTGAGTTTGCAGTGGGCCACTACTTATTATATAAATCAATTATTTTGCTATTTCAAATAAATGGACAAGTAGTTGGATCCGCTATATTTGGGACAACAGTATCAACATCATCTAGTACATGTATTTGTTGTACATCAATAACAGATTTATCCTGAGCAGCATCTGTAATCATAGCACAACTTGCTCCCTTACTTCGGGATTTTTCATCCAAAATCTCTTGAGTAGCTATTCCATCTGACTTGCCAGACAGTGGTTCCACTGCCGATGCATTCGTTTGTATTGCAGCATTTTAGCTTCAACTTAACGTTTAAACATGCTCAAACGAAAATTTTCTTAAATGACCGAGCGATAATGCCCGCCAATGTACGTCATATTACCTAATATAATACATATCTTGGTATTGGTATGTTGTTCTGTTTTATCATAATATAATATTTTTCTTGTTAAGTTTCCTTTCAAATCATGCTGAAAGTGAGGCAACTTGAAAATAAAAAAAAATCCTCAAGGTTCTTGTTCTTTTTTCGCCGACCCAGTAGGCCTTGTTCAATGAGGAAGGGAAGAGGGCGTCTGTGGGAAATGAGGAAGTATTAAAAAAAAAAAAATTAGTTCCCGAAATCAAACTAGATGTCGTTACGGTATGTTCTTGATTAGTTTAGATTGATTAGATTAAAAGTAAATTAGTTTTCAAAACTCAATTAACAACTCATATTCTATTTGTACTTTTTCGTATTTGTATTGATATCTAAGTTTCGAACTTTTCAAATTTCAGTTTTTTAATATATTAGTTAAAATGAACGGAAATTACTGTCTTTGTTCCATTCGTTTCCTGCAAAAATCAACTTTTGCTAGAGTCGCCATCTAGGTGGAGGTATTTTTGTAGTGCTTTCGTTTTTTTAAAATACTTCCTCATTATACAGAATCAGAAAGAAGCGCCGGACGAAAAAGGGGCGCCGCAGCCTGCGGCGCCCCTTTTTGCCGGCGCCCCTGGGCGGTCGCCCAACCGCGCCCTACCCTAACGCCGCTACTGTCGCTAAGTTACTTTCTTGTTTTCTACATGACAACCTTTCCGGTTTTCTTTCACGTATAAAAGTAAATTAATTTTCAAAACTCAATAAATGACTCTTAAGTATTCTATTTGTACTTTTTAGTACTTGTATTGATATCTAAGTTTCGAGTTTTGCAAATTTCAGTTATTTAATATGTTAGTTAAAAGGAACAGATATTACTGTCTTTGGTCCATTCGTTTCCTGCACAAATCAACTTTTGGTAGATTCGCTATCTAGTGAGGTGCTTTTTTAGTCCTTTCTTTTTTTTCTAAAAATACTTCCTCATTCGGGTTTGGATTTCAACAAAATCGCAGGGCAGGTCTTATCGAGTAGAATAAATATGCACTCTTGTAAAATCTGATTTCCTATAGATATCGGTGTGTTTGTTGCAGGTTTATTGCCGCTAACTCCGTAGCAAACAAAAAACATGTGATATTTGTCAAATCTAAGTTAACGGACGACTGCAGGTGCGTTGCTTTTATGTCCGAGGATTGTTAAATTATTTTACGAATGATCCTAATTAGAGTTACAATTATTCGCTTAAACAGACTTCTTTGATTAAAATAAGATTTTATTGTTAGAAATCAATATTGTGTAAAGTGTTTAATAGCAGTGTCGTTAATATTCAAGTTGCGAATACAAATCCGGCTCGAAGGACCAACTTAAATTGGTTTACTAACACAAACTATGATTCTTTATTTCGTTACTTTCTTTATAATGTAGTAGAAGATAGTGATGTAGGTTAAAAAACTGCAGTATATTCAGTGGCGTAGCGCGCCTTGGAGGACTGTATCAAAATTAGGGGACCCAAATGGAGGGTAATTTTTTTTTCTTTCACACGTAAGGCCCCTCTAGCCCCGTATCATTGATACAGCGGTAGCTACGCCCTGAGTATTTTACTATAGGTATGTACCTAAAATAAAGTACTTACAATAACTATTAATTACTGTACCACATTCATGCGAAATAAATTATTATTATTAAGGTTATTATTACGATCGCTGCCAGGTTCCGCTTCCGTCGTCAGTCATGTCAGTGTCTATAATGAATGAAATAATGACTATAAGCTTACATGCTTATACGGAATTAATTTCATTTTGAAGTATAGAACCGAATTTAATTTTCTCTATCTATATTTATGTATATATTTTACGTTCAGTAGCCACATGAAATAATACATGTCCAGAGACGCGGCCTCATCGGGCTCCGATCGGACCGTGGACGTGATAGACCTGGGCGCCCCGCGCGAGCTGCGCGACGCCGGCCCGCGCCCGCCGCCCGCCGCCCGCGCGCCCCGCCTCTACACGCCCAACCCCAGGCTGTCAGTCGTTTCACATACCCACTAAACGATCATTACTATAATGATAGCTAGGAACCGTCACAAGTAACTTTTTTATTTTTGTTTTCTAGTTTATTTCTCTTTCCTAAATTCTGATTTATACGAGAACGCTGTCTCCGAGCATAGATCTTCTCGTTTACATATTTATTTGTTCCTGAATCATTATAGATCCATCGATTCTGAGGAGGATCCTATAGAGCCTTCCGAACTTAGTCGATATTCGACGGCGTTTTTTTTTTTCGCTGATACATTCATATAACATCAGGTACCCGGGTCCGGCGGCGAAACAGAAGCGTAAAAGGAAACGGTCGCAGGGTCGCCCGAGTCGAAGCCGGCGCGTTTTCCGACGACCGGTGCCGAACGCGCGACTGTACCGGCCGGCGCCGCGCCGCGTGCCCCCGCCCCCCTCCCCCCGGCGGCCGTGGCCCCCGCCCGCGCCCCCGCTGCCCCTCGCGCACACCGCGTCGCGGGCGGCCTACCGCCTGGCCGCCCGGCGCCGCGCCTCCCCCCGCGCGTCGCCCCCGCGCCCGCCCGCGTCCCCGCCCACCGCTGAGGCCGTCGCCGCGCCGCTCCCGCCACCTCGTGGTGACGCTGCCCCCGGCCGTCGCCTCCGCTATGGACTCTAACTATCGCCACTCCACCAGCCCCGAAGACTGCTCGGACGGCAACGACAACGACGCCGTATCCGCTCCCAGCGAATTCCTAGCCGAGGTGAGTGTTCGACCGCGTCGTCGCTCGCGATCGACATCCGTTCGCACCAACGAATAATGCAGATATTTTGTCATATGTATCTCAGTTCCTGTCGGCGATAATGCAGCGGCAGTACTCGGAAGCGCTGAAGTACTGCAGATTGATTCTGCAGTACGAGCCCCACAACGCCACCGCTCGGGGCTTCTACCCGCTCCTGCAGCACAAGGTCCGACAACACACCGACAATGGTACGATATCGAAATAGTTTCAGCCAACCCATAGATATCTTGATAATTATTTATGAATACCTTGGAACCGAAGACTTCTATTGCGTAAAACTACCCGAATATAATTGTCCACATTATAATCCTAAGTACAAGAGAGTTAGAGGGGCTGTACCTAAGTGATAATATAACTGTAATTTGGGCTCAAATTAAACAGTGTTTAGCTGAATAACTGTCACTATTGCATTACAGCAAAATTATTAAGGGTAACCGTCACGAAAAGAGGTGAACATTGACTGTTTATTAGAGTATATGTCACCGCTTATACAGCACGATGCACGATTACTAAAATTTGTTTTACCCTTAGTATTACCTAAACTATAACAGAGCAGTCGCTCTGTATATCAGTACGCGGCATCCCTTACGTGCGCGTGTACACAGAGACCCGAGCGTCGCGCAGGGCACGCTCTTAATTACGTCTTTCGCGTCCTAGTTTATTAGATTTTTATTACTGTTTTCACACATCATCGTTCCAGCTTCCAATTGCAGTTGCTCTCATTATACGAATACAGGTATTTTTAGTTGAAACTCCAAAATGCGTATGCAACTTTATTTAAATATATGTACGTATAATAATAGTTAGTAGCGGTGAAGTGAACAGTGTCGTTGACGACAGTGGGTTGTGCGGGGGCGGCGGGGGCGGCGGGGTCGCAGCTCAGCCTCAGCGACAGCAGCGGGGCGGCGCCCCCCTCGCGCTCGTCGTCCCGCTCGCACTCGCACCCGCGCCGCCGACATCGACATCGCTCGCACTCTGACTCGCCCCACTCCAGACCCGTACGTAACCGAACTTATTTTGGCACGACTGTCGCGCCATCTGGTGAGCGACGATACGGTAGCTCTCATTAATTATAGGCTTAACTATGTGTTATTACTTTGTTTCAACACAATCGAGTAATAAAATTTATTTTTAATTAAAATTTGTAAATTATTAGATGCAACCAAATACACAAACAAACAATCAAATATTTTTGCTTTTATTAGTATGGATTGCATATCGATAGTCGAAGGCTAATCGATAATGTTGGCACAAGCGATATTTTTTGCCGATATTGAGTTCTATACTTAAATATTTTCTTAGACTCGGCAAATTTCGCTGATTTTCAATACTCAATATCGATATCGCTAAAATGTGTCGTAATCCAATCATTAGCCCAACCCCCCATAAAATGTTAATTATAAGATAAAGTGTATACTAGTATATTTCAAGAGATGGTAGTGATGCGATATCGTGTGAGACGCGCGTGCGCAGGAGGATGGCGGCGGATGGTCCGCGGGCTCGGAGTCGTGGGGGGGGTCGGGCGCGTCGCAGTCCTCGCTGGAGCTGGACTCCTCCAGCGGCGACCGCAGCGGCGACCGCACCGCCTCCAGCACAAGAGACAACAACGGGAACGAACCGCCGCCCCACCACGTCACCACCGGTACACCGCCGCTCACATTTACCTACACGATACTAAACTGCTTCGATTAAAAGGAGCCATCCACAGCAGACATCCGCCGGTGGTTCCATCTCGCTTCGTCCATATGTCGCGATGACGGTGGCTTCGAGTCGAGACGGCATAGTATCTGGTGTTCTAACCCATAATAAATCCTCAATCGATAAACTCCCCATTTTTGTTTTCCAGATGACCTGGAAAACGACAATGACGTATCGGCACCGACGACTTTTCATGTAAGATTTTCATTTATATACAAAATTAGTTCTTTTCTTAATGTTTGACGATTTTAAATATTAGAATCTCGTGCATATCAGACGTAAGATGCGTTCTTCAGCGACCAAAATGGAAAGCCTGTGTTACTATATGTGCAGGAGACATCGTCCGGCGGGGCGGCAGCGCTGAGGCGGCTGCGAGCACACTTCGCTTGCTCCATCAAGTGAAACCCTCAGCAGCCGACGCCTTCGCTCGCACACGCAGACTTGTCCCCGACCCTACTGGCGGATCTGCTGATCGAGAGTGAACCCTTTAATCGAACCCCTGCACTCTTTGCCAGAACCTCATCAAAATTGTTTGTCGATAGCTCAAAATTATTCAGTATTACAGTTTTGTGTGATATAGACAATTGTTATAAGTGCGAAAGATTGAATTAAGTATTTCTGCTGCGATTATCCCGGTAATTGTGGCATGTACGGGCGATGGCATATGCAAAACGACAGCGACCTCGCAGGACTAAGTAGATAGCAGCTAACATGATAAACATTTGAACAAGGACGTTTTACCATAACACAGAACACAAAGTATTTTAATTGTAGAGTAATTTAAATGTTAATTGTAGGTACGTTGGGACATTTTATACGTGTATGTTGACTACCTATGGCACGTTCGCGCGCTGCGTGAACACATTACATAGTGATTATAAGAATATATGTAGGTATGACGTAGATTTTGTTCACAAAATAATTTACTAGTGGATGATATCACTCGTTGTCTACGTTGTTGTCGGTATACTAAAACTACAATACGTCCGCATGACTTCCCTATTCGAGGGGCTCGCACCATCTCTGAGAATCATCATCGAGTATAGTTTGTGGATAGAGTAAAATCAACTGGAGAAATTTACTTTATACGAACTATCAAGCGTAGTTATTTTAGTCCTGCGAGATTATTGACGTTTTACGACCAACCCAGTATATGAAGGGCGGGAACACGTTTGCGCCGCTGCGATTGTAATTTACGTTTGTGTCGCGCAACAGTCGCAACCGCGCGTTACTGTACGTACCTATATACCGCCCCGATGTCAGAGATATCAACATGAACTCAACCAAACAAAACAACTTTTGTACTGTCTAAATAGTAGGTACCTAGTGTATAGAGACATATCTATCGTTGTTTACTTGTTATATATATGTATATTGAAGATAACATTTATCGTGGTTACGTGGTGGGTTTTGATCTGTATTTATTAGAAAATAAAAACTGTACTTAGTGTTATCCTCTACTACTGGACCGAACTCGTTTTTCGAACTGTGTATCTTGGTCGTATTTGGGTCCATTGTCGTACTTCCAACTAACGGTTGTAAGAAATCAGTTTTCGCATCATATCAGTATTAATGTTATTAAACGACCCAGGTGTCCGGGAGTAAACAGCTGCTAGTCAGCCTGGATAACATTCAACATGAATGCTGTCTGTATAGCTACCTACTATAGCTGTGGTCTGACATCTATTATGTTATCAGATATTTCTAGTTGCCATATTTTATTTGCCTGCACCTGAGAGTGACGTTATGCAAGCAGCGTTTCCTACGTTACCGAATGTTCTCTGTTTCTACTACCCATCCTTTAACAGCTGGTATCAGTCCAATCTTTAAGGCCTACTATAATAAATGGTCTAACTAAAATAAAATTTTGTCCTGTTAGAATTTAGGTCGTTAGTAAAGTTCTGTACGAGCTGAGTGTAACGAGAAGACTGAATGAAGTGTCGACATGAAAGTTATATATATATTTAAGTATGCCTGGTGTGTACTGTCTGCGTGTCGCACACGTTCCTACACACTGTACTTACAAAGTTAATGCTCATTAACGCTACCAACAATTTTATTCAAATCTCATGGAAGGATTAGCGACGCAGGATTATTGTTCGATAATCATAAAAACAATATACATACACTATGAAAAATTTATAAAATATTTATTTCTGTTCTTATTGATATATGGTTGTGTACTTCCTATTCACAACTTTTTTGATTCTTTTAAGTGTGTATGTGTCTTCAATGTATCAATATTTTGTTATCAGAGTAGTAATAAAAGTTTGTGTGGATATAAATTATCGTTTCCTTCGCTGATTTCATGCGAGAATGTTCTATGAATAGTTTATGCCGCATGTCGAGCATGTTACAGTGTCGGCATTCACATTATCTACACATCAACATATGGCAACCAAGGCGTTGTCGCGAGCTGCAAGAATCGGTGAATGCAGCACGCGCAGCATGACAAACTCGGGAAACGCTTTGTCTAAACCCGAATATCACTTTCTCGGATCGAGAGTGAGATGTCGTGCGGGCGCACCCGAGAACATTTGGAGAGAGTGACATTTGGTTGAAGACAAAACGTTCCTGAGTTCGTCATGCTACGCGTGCAGCGACTGCGCTTTAAAACATTTCCCCGACGCTGAAATAAAAGATGTTTCATTAATTAATTAATTAATTTGAATAACAAAAAGGATTCTTATTTATCAAAGATAACCGTTAGTTCGTGGATCAAGCAAAATACCTACGCAAACACAATCGGCCGGTTACTGAATTGAGAAAAGTTCAAGATCACAACTGATTATTCTCAATAATTTAAGCTTTTATTACGTTTAAGATGGCAGAATGTCCTAGTTTTACCAAACTGTTATCGACTTATAATTAAAAAAAAAATCAGAATCCAAAATCTGTTTAAATGGCATTTGGAATGGCTTAAGTACGGTTTTTGAGACGTGCTTTAAATTCTCAATTCAGAAACCGGGTGTACGTCTTTTGAGTGATTAATTATCAAGACAGGGAGTTCTTTCTGGTTTTAAATTTTTTTTTATGTAGTGTTTAGGAAATTTAGACTAAATATAGGTGTGACAAACTGTGCTTTGCCTATTTTAAAACAACTTGTCATATGAAATTAAATTCCTCGTAGCCGATCTGTTAGGCGGCGACTACCATAAGGAACCCTTCCATTCCTTCCACATCACGACGTCAAGACGGTCGTAAGCTACGCAAGTAAATATCCATTACAACAGTGTTTTACTGTACAAGGTTACAATCGTAAATATAAGGTCCTTACATATGAAATTTGGTATGGGGAGGAACAAAAAGTCAAATATTTTTAATATATTTATTTAATCAAAGTATAAACCATTGTTATCTATGCACTTTTGTCATCTCATAGGTAGTTCATTGAACCCCTTACTAACAAAACCATTCGGACGGGAATCAATAAAATCTTTAAAGGCGATTTGCATTGCCCCATCAGAGTTGAATTTTTTCCCTTGCAAGAAATTATCCAAATTTCGAAAAAAATGGTTATCTGTTGGAGCAAGGTCCGGGGAGTACGGTGGATGTCTTAGACATTCCAATTGAAGCTCTTCTAATTTGGTAACCGTCAGTTGTACAGTTTATTTATTTATTTATTATCATAAGACACACAGTTTGTGGGCTAGCGTTGTCTCGAAGTAGCAATGACGTAGAGCGATTAACCAGCCTCGGTTGTTTAACAGCTAGTTTTTCCAGCACGGTTTGCAATTGCTGACAAGAGATGTCTGCCGTAATCGTCAGGCCAGAATTGAGAAAACTGTAATAAACGACACCGGCACTAATCCACCAAACGCTTACAAGTAATTTTTTTGGGGTCAATTTTCGCTTGGGGCAGGATTTGGCTGGCATGCCAGGGTCCAACCATTGCGATGAGCGCTTCCCATTATCGTAGAGAATCCACTTTTCATCTTGACACACAGACTACAGGTAATGATTCGATTTAAAAACGAGTTCGAGTTAAGTAATGTAATGCAGCAGTCAAAGCAATGTATTCGACTGCGAATATGCGACATATCTAAATTTTTTATGTAACCCATTACTGCTACTGCTATTCATATGGACAATGAACACATAATTATAGATAGAGAAGATGAGATTTCATATTACAGTTGTTAATGTTCACGCACATTGTATCGAGTGTGTCCCATCAACGAGGGATCTCCCCCGCGCCCCCGCGTACTGCCGCTAGGGGTGCGTTCAAAATCCCAGTCGTAAATCCAAATGAATAAATAAAATGCACCAAGTATTCAAAACGTATTTTTTAATAAAAACGATAAAACAGTATCTTCATATCATAATAATCAGTGAAAACATAACGTGTCTTTACATGTTTAGTAATACATAGTTGGCACTTGTGAGGCGTGCGCGGGCCCCCTCCCGCTACCGTACAAGGAGCGACACCTCGTCCGCATCAACGACCAACGCGCGTACGAGCACGTGTACGTGTACGTACTGTCACCACCACACCGGCGTGCACGCTCCCGCTCACGCACCGCATACAGTCACGACACTTTCATACTCGTTACTCGAAGCCGCCCGAGAGATCATATGCGTACCATTCAATGAGCACGGTGCGCGGTTATAATATAAGATTAATGCAAAAGTGTTACTTTATAACAATCTTATATCCTTTGCATGTTCGTTAAAGCACACAGCGGCGAACTTTGTATTCGAAAGAGAACAACGTGCGAGCCATCACGCCCCGCCCCGCGGCAGCGACGGTCACACCCATACAACTATATACCTAATATATTTGAGGTCATGTCAAATAAAAAGTTAAATTTAACAAGAGAAAAGTTCTAATAGTAGAGCGACCCGACGGCAGCCCTCGTCCGATTTAAAATTAGTTTTATTATTAATAAGGAACCGTGCTCGCAGTCGACGATTTATTAAATGCAATCTCTAGAGGGCTCAGTTTCTACGAGAGTTCACGAAAATTACAATAATACAATTTCGTCAGTCCTATCTACTGGGGAACGAAGGAAGTCGACGCGATCGGCCGAGTCGGGGAGCACGCACTCGACGCGACGACAGGGAAATTAACTAGAACAGGCATCGGCGGTCGTCGATACGTTCATAGAACATCGAACGATCCGTCGATCGATACCGGAACTCTTTCATAAATCTTACAACTTTTAAACTCTTCAATTATTCAACTTCATATTACTACTACTCATTTCGGCTAGCCTTACATATCTTTCATACAGCGAGGGCGAGGCCGCCGTCGATCGGAACTACCGCTCGTCCGACCGCCGGACACAACCCGGACACGTACACACGGGACACGGGCCCCTCTCGCCCTCGACGAACACTCGACGATTCGTACATCGATATGCGCACATCGGAACGGATTCCGGCTACGCTCGAGCGGAACGCGCCGGCGACGACCGGACCGTTATCGCCCCGCCGCGGATACGATCTTGTATTTGTGCCGGCCGACGGTCGCGCCGCGCGATCGCTCCGAACCAGAATCTAAACGCGGGAACACATCTCGGGGAGAATTCGACGGCGACGGCGACGGCGGTCACACGAGCACGTCGAGCCGCGAGCCGCGCCGCACGAGCCGGACGCCGCCGCCGGCCGCCGGACCGGGCCCGGGACCGGCGCCGGGCCCGGGCCCGTGGAACGCCACCGTCACCGTCTGCTGCCCGAGGTTGGCCTCGAACCTACACGACGCGACACCAACGCTGTATTATATCATGCACATACGGGCCTTAATTAACGGTTAATTATATTTAAAAATGAATAATCAGAGTGAGTTTTTCACATTATTGTGGAGAAGTCGTTTGTTTGATGTGTAAGGTTAAGTTTATTCGATGTTATCACTATTATTAATAGTTAGCAATTAAATAAATTTTGTTAGCATTTAGTAATGGATCTGTCAGGTCTATTAGATACATAAGTTTTGATTGTATTTAAATCGTAAACGACTGTTTGTTTTCCTAAATATAAAAATAAATAACAGTAATCGAATGGTATTCGAAGCATGGAAGCGATAAAGTTAGATGACGTCAAGCGACACACATCCAAATCGAGGATGAAGATAGTACCAATACTGTGTGGGGGGGCGGTAGGGTCGTTAGTGTGCGTGCACTCACTCTGTGGCGATGTTGACGGCGGGCGGCGCGCCGACGGCGTTCTGCACGACGAGGAACAGCTTGGTGGCCAGCTCCAGCACGTGGCACGTGCGCAGCAGCAGGTCCCCGCGCCCGCCGCCGCCCCCGCCCCCGCCCCCGGCCCCGAACAGGCAGCCCCCCTCCGACGCGGACACCGACGAGCACTGCGACGTCTCCTCCGGGGAGCACTGCGGGGGAACGCATGCGCATACATTACACCTCCCCGCCGGTACCACCTTTCCACAAGGAAATCGTTTCAATACTCGACGACAGCTGTCACCGAGAGAACGAAAAATGAGGTGGACGGATAAACGAGGCGCGAGAAGTTCCTTAGCGAATGTTGAGTTTTAAACGCCCGGGTCCCGAGATGATTCATTTCGAAAGCTAGAAATCATCGACGTTCGGTGAAAGTTCAAGCTGGGGCCGTCGCATAAAAAATAGAACGGTTCGAGGGCTAGAAAAGCGGGGAAGTAATTCTAGAAATTCGATTTCTAGAAATGCGGGCGAGGATGTAAAACTGCGGTTTCTCCGTGTTATATTTCGTAGCATATTAACGGTCGATCGTCCGACTTCAAAAAGTTTCGTCATCTAACATTTTGATCTAAATCTTTGGATTTTTAAAAATAACAATTTCAGTATTTCTTGACGTAGAAGAAACTGACGAAAATATAAATTATAAAACTATTCTACAGTATACTCGTTCTACTCGGGTCCATTAAAAACGTAGTCACAAAATGTATACGTACGGCACGCACGTGCACGGCGAGCAGGTCGTCCGCGTACGGCGACAGCGACAGCCTGTACACGTGCGCGGCCGGCACGCGCCGCTTCGTGCGCAGCGAGCGCGGCTCCAGCAGCAGCAGCGCGCCCGTCGACACCACGCACAGCACGGGCCGCGCGCCCCCGCCCCCGCCCCCGCCGCCGCCCCCCACGCGCCCCGCCACGTCCGCGAACACCACGTACGCGTCCCCCGCGCCGCCCGCGCCCGCGCCCCGCCGCCACGCCAGCGACGCGCGCAGCCGCACGTAGTCGCCCACGAACGGGTGCGCCACGCTGCGCCCGTAGGAGGCCTTGCGCTCCTTGAACAGCACGCTCGCCGTCACCTGCCGACGACCGCCGCGGGCGTTTATGACTCGAGTGGACGATGGGGAAAGAAGTATTACTGTTCCCGGCGAGCTTCACCACAGAAATAAATCTAGTTAGAAGGAAAATGTTCGTCGATTTATATGGAGACCGAGCGTGCCACATTTTGTGTAGGTATCATGACGTCACGATCTTAATTTAGTGATGGAAGACATAATTTCACTTGCATCGAATACATGTTGTATTTGAAACGGCATACCGATTCTTATCGATTGAAAAACGATATCGATCGACGGAGACCAACGTGTACAGTCTGTCTATAAAGTCATGAAAAGAATGTTTGAGGAACTAACATTAGACACAAGTATCACAACACTGAATCAAAGTACATCGACTGTCAACAACTTGATTTTTTAGCTCGATTTTCTGCATTTTTGATTTATTTTGATTAAACTGAAGCTACTTCTTCTAAACTCCGTCGAAAAGTGTTAAAAATGAAGAGAATTAATCAGAGTGAAGCTCAGGATATTATTTATAAAGTTTTTCAGTGATGTTTATTGGAACAAGAAGCTGGACACATTTTATCATATTTATAGGATGTTAAAGCTCGAACGGCAGTTATGGCTGGTATATAATCGTGTTACTGATTGAGTTTTGGTTACCAGAAGTTTCAAATTTACTAAATATATGAATTTAAGTCTAAAAGAAGTATTGATTACATTATGCATTTATAAGTTAGATTGAAAATGTTAGAAGGCTATATTGTAGTGCGGTCCGAACTTTCAATACTTTTGGATAATCAAATTTATCATTGATTTTAATCTGAATAAAAAATATACCTTTTAGGAATGTGCGATTTTTACCTATGTACGCCAATAAAAAGTTTGTGCTTTATATTACTAAAATTATAGCATTAATTTGATCATTGTGGCGATTCCATTCTTTTTGCCAAATACCTATAGGTATTACATTTTTAAAACTTACTTTCAGGAAAATCAGAGAATATAGTGCTACGTATTGTAGATGAAGGTTATAAAAATGGTGGCATATTTGAAACCCCTGGGAAACATAGATAGTCGTCCTAAGAAATAAATGGTTAACTGCAACATTTGTGCACTTCGACAAAAGATTCAGTTCTTTTACTCTGTGAAAAAAAGAGGTACCTACATGAAGAAAACATCAGTGGATTGCCAAAAAAAGTTCTGCGTTAAATTCTGAAATATATTGGGTTTTCTTACAAGGAGTGTCAAAGTAACAGGCTTTAATCGAACACAAGCACACATTGCAGTAAAACGAGAAAACAACTTGGCAATTATAAAAAAAAAAGATTTATCAAAAATTACGATTACTATATTGTAAATATTCAATGTAGAATAAACTCATTGTCTACGAATTATACGCCTTTCTTTACCTTTTCTGGGGTAATAAAAGTAAAAAAAAAACCTACTATCAAAATCATTTGTCTCACTACACAGGGTTGCTACGTGCACGATCGCAGCGCCCTCAATTTTTTTCATGACTTTATAGACAGACTACCATTTTGCTTAACGTCACGTTTTTATTGTCACGAACTTACGAATGTAATTTAGTGAATCGGCGAAAAAAGATTTTATGCGATAGAATAGAAATCGGCATTTTTCTGTGGGCAAACACTTTGTAGTAGCCGCTACCCCCTCCCGACACGCTACACATTTTTACGTCCTGTGTTGTTATGTTATGTTTCACGGCGGGCTTTTCTGCAACTCGATACTCAGTTCCTATTTTCCAGACACGGGGTTGCTTTAGTCCTGCCACCCCAGCTCCTCCAGGAAGCCCGTAAGATCTCGAACTCTGCCGCATGCTTCCACTAGTATCCTTGGGCTTCATAGATATGTAGTCCTTTTGTCTTAATAGGCTCCTGCATTCCAGTATCACATGAGTGCACAAGCGCTTATGTGATACTGGAATGGAGACTGAGGAGACAATCTCCTCAGTCTCCATGCACGCCCTGCTCAGAGGACTGTCAGAATAACCCATGTTATATAGGTGTTTGTTAAAGTTTCCATATCCAGTAAGTATACCTACTATTTGCCTTAGAGTCCTGTTGCTTCAATCCATTTATTTTTAATATTAGGATCATACGGAAAACTAAAACAAAAATTATAGTATAATTCAATATAAAATTAATTATCCTTTCTTCTGCTTTCAAAAACGATATTTTTTTAATCGGGTAAAAAAATCGCATTGTACAGCACTATTCTCCATTTTTGGCCTCCAACAAATTGAACTTGAATTATACATCGATGGTTTTACAAGCACAGCAAATTTGGACTGTCAAATTAAAGCCGCAATGGAAAGCTATTACTGGACACATGACCGTTTTGATAAAAATAATACGGAGCAACAAAACTAATGATTTATAATTCAAAATAGATATATCAAGGCAAATAGTTACTTACCGATGGAAGGAAATACCTCGACTATAAGATCCAACCATATCGGTGGTGTTTGAGCAGTAATTATCGAACAACGCATCATTTTAAATTTCGTCCAACACCGCTTGCGATCGAAAGTGGACTGAGCCTCGCGGCGAGCAATGAAGCTGTCTAGACGTCGTTTCGGCGCGCGAAGTACGTATACTTTTTCCTTCTAACTAGATATATTTCTGTGAGATTCACCTTCTCCCGCATGCGGTTGCGGGCGACCTGGTCGACCCGGGCGCGGTAGAGGCGGCAGCGCCAGCGGTGGTGCAGCCGCCGCAGCAGCGCGTCGGCCCGCGCGAGCAGGCGCGGGTGCGGGCACGGGGGCCACGCGGCGCACGCGGGGGACATGTGCCGCGCCGGCAGCCGCGCCCACAGCCGCGCCAGGTAGCGCCGCCGCGCCGCAGTGCACCACCACCGCCACACCGCGCGCGCCGCCGCCTCTGCTGCCCCGCTGGGGCCCTCCGCCGCCGCGTTCCGCCCCATCTGGCGATATCGGGGAGCTCTCGTTCGCCTTCCTTTCTCGTTTCCTTCGCTCGGGGCTCGATGCGATCCGATTCGCCATCGACGAACGATCTAGGCCGACGTCGAATCGCCCATCCGCCCTCGTGACGATGTCCGGGGGCGGTCGACCGTTTCCGATTTTTCTGAATATTCGTGAAGCGGTATCCGTCGCACCGCCGATCCACCGCGGGACGTATACGCGAGCACGTCCCGTCCAGCAGAGATATCTTCACCCTAGCACTATCCCTTTCATTGCATCACCGGAGGAATCGGTTTCGGCATCGCCGCACGGCCGGGACGTGCACGCTTTACTTCATATATGAAAAATATATTGAACTCAGAGAACGGTTCGATATAAGGATCTTCGATAAATCGGTCTAGTCGCATCGAGCCCCGAGGGAGGAGCCTGATGATCTACCGATATAAATTACATAGTAAATAAAGGATTAATTCAATTCCTCGTATTACGAGTATGACACGAAAACATGTTCAAATATCACGTTTAATTTTAACAAATAATTTTTACCTTTAATACATACTTAGTTTTATTAACCTATATATTTGTTTTATTTCCTCGCAAAAAGCATTGAAAAATGTTGTAAAAAACTTGAGCGTAAAAGGTTTATCGAATTCGTAAAACCTTACTTTCCGCACTCATATATTAAATAACTATTTAGATCTATAAACAGATGACAAAGAAGCTTTACCCGCAGACGGCGCAGCAGAGCTCGACGTTCCGGCAAATCGCGAGTGGCCTGCGAAGGTGAACGGAAACGATTACAATCACAGTCCACAGCCGCCTGGCGGAGCAGTGTCGGTCGCGGCCTACCTTGTGCCGGCGCCACACGCGCGCGATGGTGCGCTGCGCGCGCACGCGGCGGCGCCGCACACGCGCCCGCCACGCGCGCTGCACCGCGCGCACCAGCGCCTCCACGCGCGCGCCGCGCAGCCGCTCCAGCTCCCACACCTCGCACCACACACATATTAACGTTATTCTCGCCGTCCGTCTGGCCCCGCTCGTTTCTTATTTCGAATCGATATTCGTTCCGATCTTCCGCTCGATCTATTCCCGGGACGAGCTCTAGAGCGATAAATAACGGCTCCTCGTCGAGTTAAAAAAACAAACGTCTCCGAGCTCGGGACGGAGCGAGCACCCCGCCCCTCCTCGACTTTAGTCGGAATAAAAGATACGTTGGTATGTAATATTTTTTTATCATTTGCCTGACGGATATCTTTTTTTTTTATTATCGAGCATCATCCCTCCGGCGCAGGTTCCTCTGGACCTGCGAAGACTCTACGGCGTCGGACGCGCCCGCGGTAGATTTTTCCGGGACTCGCGATCGCAATTGTGAACGTTGTTTGAACCATCGTGTTTATAAAGTGAGAAAAATGAACAAGAAAATATTAACGTTTTTAATTTTAGAAGAAGAGGGTGATGAAGTTGTTTTATTCGTTTTCAAAATAATACCGACCGACGCGTGCGGCGTGTCTGTGGACCCAGCAAACCCAACATTTCCGAACACAGCGTAGGGACGTCGGCGGCCGCGGACACGCGTCGGTCGCCGCCGTCGGCTCCGGACGGGCGAGGAAACTAGCGCCCGACGTGGTCGTGGAAGAGACGATTCTCTCGGGTGATCGTGGGAAAATATTTAAATGAAAATATTCGACTCGGTCTCCCCTATTAGCGGATTAGAAAGCGAATTATAAACTCCGGGATCTGTCTTCCGATCGTTTCGCTACCGTCGAAAGTATCTAGGGGCGATACATAATATAGTTACCGTGCGCGGGCTCCTGATGAACACCTTGGTCCGCCCGTAGGCGAACTCCGCCCCGGGTATGGGCAGCGTCCTGAGCAAAGCGCGCGCCCCCCGCACGGGGTCCGCCCCCGCCCCCGCCGCCCCCGCGCCCGCCCCCAGTATCCCGTAGCGGGCCAGCAACGCGCGCGCACACATCCACTCGCACCAGCCGCTGCGCCGCAGCAGCGCCATATCCATTATTCTATCCCCACACAAAACTATAACGCGCCGGTTCTATTTCGAGCAACTGGGCTTGCTCGAAATAGAGCCGGAACTTAAAAGTCTTTATTGTGCAAGAAAAATAGCTCGTAAGCTCGATCGATCTCGTAAGCTATTTATACCGACACAAGCGAGACATTCGATATGCTCGGTCATTCAATATTACGTAACGAGCTAAGTTTAGTCGGGGGGTTCATGATTCTTCTTAAAATTGTGTGGATATTATCTTATTCAGAGATGTCAAAGGATGATCGCTCGTGGATATCAAATCGAACTATTTTCACGTCCTACCACGTGTCCCTCGGGGTTCCCACTCGGGGCCGGTTTTCTTTCTGATATTTTTTGATGATGACGAGAACCGACATCGTAAAGCGTTCCTAGTGTGTGTGCATCGTATACGTCGGTCGGCGCCGCTAACACTCACCCCTGATCACGTATCTGCCGCCTCAGCAGCGGGCCGTCGAAGCGGTGCGGCCTGAGCAGCGCGTCGGGGCGCAGGCAGCGCACGAGGCGGGGCGCGCCCCCCGCCCCCCCCGCCCCCAGCAGCCGCCGCACCAGCGCGCCCACCAGCGCGCGCTGCCGGCACGCCAGCGCCAGCGGCCGCCGCGGCGACCCCGCCGTCGCCGTCGCCGACGCCCCGCCTGCTCCACCGTACGAATGGACTTAAGAAATCCAAATGACGTTGAATAAATATTGAACAGTGAATGTTAGATAAATATTTTATAGATGGATGTAGCGAGGGTCGAATCGGTGATCGATTCTGTCTGCAAAATTGACATAAAAATAAATAACTCCTTTGCCGGTTTCGACGACTCTCTTGCAAAAATATTAAAACGGAGCAAACGTATCGTGGCGCGGACTCGCGCACTTTATGAATTTGTCGTTCGGACGGGGAGCATTTCCAGAGACGTCGAAGGCTCCTGTCGTAACGTTCAGTCAAAAGATAAATAAAGTCGATCCAGCGAACTACAGATATTAACCATCGATCCCGCTCATTTCAATAGCAAAGATATTCAAAAAGTGTATGCACGCTAGACTAATGAATATTTTAGCAAAATTTTATGTATCGGAGTCTAAACTCGATATGGTTTCCGAAAATGAAAATCGACTGTTTGGCAGCTTTCGAATCGTTAAATAAAAAATAATAAATTTAAAAAAAACCTCACATTTTGACCTAAACGAGCGTTCGAATTAATTTTGCACAATAAATTGTTATCGATATTTGAGACTTCCGGGATACGTAAAAATCGTTTTGAAGGGATTAAAAGTTATTTGCGACACAAAGGTCTAAATATAATGACAATAATTCACATGTTAGTTCAACTTCGTCAGTAACAAATATAGTCGAATGGGTACCACAAGGAAGTATATTGAGACCCTTATTATTCCTTCTTTATATTAATGATATATTCCTAATATTAGAGACTTCCATTGTATACTTTCTGTCGATGACATATCTGTAGTGTTTATAATAATACAAATAAATCTTTTAGTGACACCATAAGAAATTACTTGACACTAAATAATCTTGTAGTAAAAAATATTCATTTTCCACGGTATATAGCACGTAAGAAATATGCAAACTATACAATTTAAAAACAAGATGACCATAAAAAAACATTTGTCTATTACTCGTAATAATAAAATTCTAAAACAGTTAAAATTGAAGCTTACCTAGAGGTAGAAATAGACAATGGAATGATCTACTCGGAAACCCCACATTGATAAATTATGCACGAAACTATATAATTTTCATAGTAGTCGGAGCGGCTATTCAGAGGAGCCAGCAACAAGCGGTCTGCGCTTCAAATCTAAGGTTCGGAGATGCAATTGCTACGTAAACTTCAGCAGAATCGATCCACCGGTTACGTCACGTCACCTGGGGCGTGCGGGGCGTGCGGGGCGGCGGCGGCGGAGATGGCGGGGGCGAACAGCGCGGCCAGCAGCGGCTCGCGCGCGGCGCCCAGCGCGGCGCTGCAGCGGCGGCACACGCTGTCGCGGTTGTGCTCCACGATGCCGCGCGCGCTGTACGTCACCGGCCCGCCGAAGTGCACTATCCTGGATCACACCACATTCCCGTACACCGGCAGGTCTAATTACGACGACGATCACCGCCGAGCGCGCCGACACCGAATTCGACATCGATTTCGAGAGAGACGAATCCGGCGGAAGCGGGCTCGACGAGATCTCGATCCCCGAAGAGTACCGACTGGAATCTGTCGGGCGGCGCGGCGAGCAGGCGCGCGTGGCGGCGGCGCTGCAGCCGCTGCAGGAAGGCGGCGTCGGACAGGCCCGCGCGCGCTGCACTCCCGCAGCGCGCCCAGCACGCTGTCCGCGCCCAGGTCCAGCAGCTCCGCCAGCGGCTCGTGGTCCTGCGGTCACACGGTCGCACGCGGTCAGGCGCGCGCTCGGGCCCGCTCGGGCGCGGTCGGGCCCCGCTCGGGCGCGGGCGCGGTACCTGGTAGGGCAGCGGGGTCCAGTCGAGGCCCTCGCGCGCGTACTCGTCCTGCTCGCGGCGCAGCGTGGCGGCGGTGACGCACGCCTGCACGCGCTCCGCCGCGTAGTTGATCAGCAGCCGCTCGAGCCCGTTGTGCGCCAGCGACTCGAACCCGTACACGTCCAGGATGCCCAGCGAGCACCGCGCGCCCCCCTCCGGACCCTGCCGGTGTCCGATCGCGGTGCTCGATTAAACTGAGACATGCGCGGTTCGAGGTTCGAGACGGCCGGAGTTCGGGCGGGCTCACCTTGATGGCCTCGTTGACGTTGTGGATGAGCCAGGTGAAGAGGCGCGAGTAGAGCGCGGCGAGCAGGCGGTCCCGCGCGCGCGCCGCCCACTCGGCGCCCGTCCACGCCTCCCACTCGCCCCCGCCCCCGTCTCCGCCCGCGCCCTCGCAGTCCGCCGAGCCCTCGCCCGAGCACCCGGACTCCACCTCGCTCGAATCTGCCTCCCGGGATGGTTCAAAATAAAATCGAGAAATTGACACGAAACTCACGATCATAACGATCACGTTAAAAGTGAGCGTTCGATCCTCAGGTCGTCCCAAAATTAAAAAGACCCCAATCCAAAAATCACTCTAAAAAGTATAAAAATTATTTATTTTACACATTTTAATATGTATATCTGATGTGAATGAACTTTCTATAAATATTTTTTCAGTTTCTTACTTTATGCTCTCGAGGGTGCTGTTGCCAATTTAATGTAACGTCACATAGCCTATAGCACGCGAACAACTAAGACGCTTCTAATGATACCTCATTTGTCCAGTTGAGATGAATAGTTTCGAAGTTACGAGTGAGCAGATGAACATTATTACATACATACATACGTACCGGCCAATATCATACCCCTACTTTTCGCTTCGCCGTGGTCTGGCATAGAACGGTCCCCCGACCGTAATTTGAATTTAATTTAGCTGAGCTTATTTTTATTTTAAACTTATTTTCTTACTCTCGGGATTTATCGGTGAACATCTCGGATCCAAAAATAATATATTTTATCTGTGTAGATTATCGAAAAGATAACAATATTTCGCTTAAGAAACTAGACAAACTATTGTTACATGGGACTCACCCGTAAACAAGTCTCCGTCGTCGGGGGGCGGGGGCGGGGGCGGGGGCGCCGCGCCCAGCGCGCTCGCCAGCGCGTGCTCGTCCACGCCCACGAGCGCGCACGCCTCGCTCAACTCTGCAACCACGTCTCGATTAGTGCATCTCATTTTGTAGCAGTTTTGCGTTCACATTTATCGTTTTATTTTTGTAACAAGATATCAAATATTTGCTTAAAAATTATAAAATCTTTTTTCTTTGTGAAGTAATCATTATTCTGGTATAAATTGTGGACAATAATATTATCATAAATACGAGAAATTCACACTTAACTTCAAGCAATATTTGAAGATTTTCAGTTCATAATAAGATTTTTTTTTCTATCTTTAATTAATGCTATATCAAAATTTCCGCTACAAACTACACGAGTATATAAGAGATATCATTATATTTTTTTTTATTTCATTTGCTTAGAACAGTAGCTCAATCCAGGGACTCAAAAATGTGTCTTCAAGTGTTTTATGAAAATGATTCTGCTATTTTGAGTTTCATTAAAAAGTAAAGCAACATTCTCGAAACGAGGACGCTACGAACTATGGCAAGAGCAGCAAGTACGAATTATTCTGCACTATCCAATAAGTCTAATTTTAATATATTTTTATTTACGCGAATTTGTCAGATTTTCTTTTAATGGTCCGTGTTGTCACCGTTGGGTCACGCATAATACCGATACAATGGGCGTTACCCATTGCTTAAAGTGAACTGGAGCCAGTTTTGACAACACGCCTTGTTATTTGTATTGTACGATTACCTTGTGCTGCGTATATGCGTGTTATTCTTTTCTATTCTATAAACACAGGAAAGGACGATTTTTAAAAGATCGCCAAGTGATCACGAAGTTAGATATTGTATTTATTTTTAATCAAATTAGGTTTACTTATTTTGGAAATCAACAACAAATCTTAACAATAACAATCGACAACAATAAAATTGTTTGTGATCTGAACACAACCCAACTCATTAAGTATACTCATCGACCAGTGTTTATTATTTAACGGTACCGTATCGCTTGTGCAGCCGCACGCCGATGGAGCCGTCGATGTTGTGCTGCGGCTCGAACTGCACGTTCCCGAGCTTGAGCAGGAACGCGAGCGCGCGCTCCACCGCGCCCCACTGCGCCGCGCCCAGGCCCAGCCGCGCCATCGCCGCCTGCGCATATACACGTCTATACATCTATACAGTATACGACAGGAGGCGAGAGAGTTTTTTTGGAAAATTGTAGTAAAACATTGAAGCATTTTTTTCTGAAGAATAAAAAAAAATGTTTTATCACGATACAATTAAAGAAATACTTAAATATGCCCCTCACTTCCGTCACACACGCACGCACGCACGCACTCATGCACGCACGCACACACGTCGGTTACATGTCGAAAAGTGTGACACTTCTTCTTAAATGATTTGCAGATTATTAAAAAAAAAGGTTTTGTTTATTTATTAAATTAAAAAAAAATCGCCGTTATAAAAAATATTTTGGTTTTGAGTATACGCCCCTCCGGCTCGAAGTCCACGATATTTATTATCATTCGTTGAATATCCAAATATTAATCGAACGACGTCCGGAGCGGGCGTCTTCTCCTATAGATAACGAAGTATTAGTCACCTTGGTGAATGCGAAGTGGTCCTTATCATCGGCGGCGGCGGGCGGCGCGGCGGGCGCGGGCGCGGCGCGGCGGGGGGACGCGCCCGCCTCCCGCCCCGCGCCCGCGCCCGCGCCCGCCCCGCGCAGAATGCTGTACTGCTCCCAACTCCGCTGCAGCCGCAGACGCTCTGCACCACGAGTTCGAACAAACGTCAGGTATTATTCGAGCGATGCGGTCATTTCGGTAGAGGAAAATTTAATTCATATCGACGTATAAACACTCTCCTTGCTCACAAAGTCGCATGACGATCTTATTTAATTAAAACTAAAGTTTTTTAATCTGCGGGCCCACGGCCCACGTGTGATGTCGTATCGGCAGAAACATTTCTGTATCTGTCGGGCGAGTCGTAGATGGCTATCTATTTATTTTGTAGCGGATCCCTAGATGGCGCCCTTCTTATCTATGATCGTCTATGTATCCGAACGAAGCGAAAACGAAGCGAAAGAACCTATATGGAGGACAGCGCATGTCTGACGTAAAAAACGTATTTATTTTGCCGAAATATCTTTATCTTAATTTTTGGATTTATATTGAAATAAAAAAGATGATTTATTTTTTCTAATAACAGTAAAATGTGATAGGTATTCGGATTTTATTATGAATGCTCTGATCCTAGTCGTCAGGTGGACGCCGTGTACTCAGACTTGTCAAAAGCTTTTAATAAAATAAATCATTTTATAATATACTTTTAGGAAAAATTTTAGGAAAAGTCAGTATAGACCAGGATCTCTTATAGTATAAAATTATGAACCACCCTTTTTAGACAGAAATTGGTCGGTAATTTGCATCACTGAATCAAATCATATCACCTCCCTTAAATACTGGAATTCCTTATATACGAGTTAATTTCCAGATTGTAGGAAACACTATCTTCTGCAAGCCTCGATTTATAGATTGGATGGTATATACGCCAGTCTTTATTATTATATAGGTGATATTTTATTTGTATTGTAAACTTTTCAAGCACTCAGCAACCATGAGATTATTAAGTAATGGTAATTGATTATAATACAAATAGACCCTTGTATACTAATCAATTGCATAATTTTCTAAATACTTTATCCCCCTAGTATATTTATAAGTTACACGATTTTAGACGCTAATTTAAAGAATTAGAGGTCATAATTGCATGCTCGTGTCATGCTCATTTATTCTGAACAGATCCACGTACTAAGTAATAGATCCACCTACTCCTACGGTGGATTTTCGGCCCTAGGCTAAGATTTTAGAGACCACATTTGCATGGACGTGTTATTTCCACCTAGTATTTTTCTCCATATCATAATATTCGAATTTAACATAACGGAGTAAAGCTTTTATATTTAGGCAACTGCAACAACAAAAACTACAACTGTAGAACTCACTGAGCAGGTGCGCGTCGGCGCCGGCCAGCAGCTGGTAGAACACGTGGAAGTTGCGCTCGCCCTCCGCCGCGCCGCACGCGCGCTCCTGCACACGCACACGCACACAACGCATACATACACACACGCACACACGCGCACGCGCCATACGCGCACGCGTGGCTACTATACTCCTACACTTTTAACGTCCCCACCCGAACCAATAAAAACATGTCTTCGGGCTTCGACAGTACTCGCTATTCGAGAGGGGAAAAGAAATATCTTATAATAGAGTTTGGAAGGATTGAAACGCAGGCTCCTCTGCGTTTCAATCCATTCCTTCCGTTCTGATGGACATCGGAGTTAGGGTGGGTCACTGAGATCAGTGTGAGCGTTCGTCGTCTCGTAATAGCTATCGTATCGATACTAGAAAATAGACGAAAGAACACTATACCACAAAATTATTCTGTGACTATACCGATATTATATTTATACGAGTGCCTTCTCTTTCTTTCTTCGGAATTATGAAACGTTACATAGATATATTATATACTTCACCTTCTCCAAAAGGTCTGCGTGCAAAATAAAATATAAATGAGCTCTAGGTTCCTCGTTCATATCGGACAGAGATCACAGAGAACGGTACTCACAGTGCGTTATATGTCCTCCCACCGGCAGACCGCGGAAGTCGAACTCTACATCTAACAATTTGCCCTGCAAAAGAAAAAGCGACGTCATCGTTTCGACCGGGGAGGAGCGGGATTTGTACAAACCGTTCTGGACCGCCGCGGGGCGGGCAGCGGGCGACGAGTGTCCCGCGACATACGAGCGGCGAATGCGCGGCACAGTGATTATAGTGTTGTCGTCTACAGTTTATAAATAATTTTAAAACGTTATCGACATTTAAACAACTATAATTAAATACATATTTCATATCATATTAGGCATGTAAATTGAAAAAAGCGATCTGACCGCCGGCGCCGAGAACGCGCAAATTCCCCCACGTCGCAGCCTGCGCCCGCGAGCGTCCAGGACGAGGCCTAGCCCAGGAAGGCGCGGGCAAAGCTCGTTCACTACCGACGAGAGAGTGGTGATAGTACTCACAAACCGGCTGGCGTTGTGGTTGCGCGCGGTGGCCGCGTTCCCGAACGCCTCGAGCAGCGTGCCCGCGGCGGTGAGCGCGCCCCCCGCCCCCGCGCCCTCCCCGCCCGCCACCACCGCGCACTGCAGGCACACGCGCGCCGCCTCCGTCTTGCCCGCGCCGCTCTCGCCGGTTATTACGATGCATTGGCTCTCCTGCACCACCAAGATTTTTTTTTTATATTAGACGAAGCGTCGTCTAATTTAAAACGAGAAATCTAACTCGGCCACTCGGGAGACATCGACTCGAGTAGAAGTCCGTAGCACACCGAGAACCGACGAAGTTTCGTCAGTTTTATCGACAAAGAGAGGTGTTTACCGATATTTGCTCGAAATAGAGATGCAAGTTTCATAAAAATATCAATACATCTAGTTCGATATATATCGGTTCCAGTCGATATCGCTATATTTTTTGGATCTTAAGTAAATTTAAAAATCTCATATTTGATCAATTTTACGTTCATAATCTATACTTAAGTACTTTAATGAAAAACGCTTAAAAATCCGCAAGCCCTGGGTAGCTCAGTGGTTAGAGTAGTCGCACGGATTCCGAATGGACGTGGGTTCGAGCAGAGTTCCTGGGGCTGGTGGATATTTTAAGCATTTTACATTGAAAATATTTAAAAATCTTGATATTAGCTTTTCATATGTTGAAATGAAATGAAAATATCTTTTTTAAGTAGGCTATTACAAGCACTTTTGAATCGTCCAAAATTGTTGGCTTTTTCGATATCGATATTTTTATGATATCGGAATTTTATAGCGTTGACATATCTTTATATATAATATCGGTCTTCCGATATATTGTTGCATCCCTAGTTCTAAAATACATTTTATCAAAACCGAGTATGCGGTCGAGTATGAATCGTGAAAATATAATAATTGTATTATATTTGTAAATGGCTCCATAAAAAAGAATTACACGCTCGACTAATTAATAACCGTTTAAAATAATCGTTCAATATTAAAAAATCACTAGTACTTAATTAAATTAACATAGGTTTTTACGTTTGGCTTTCCCTATGGGTTGAGTTAGATGGCAGGAAGAGGCCATTTGTATTTCTCGAATAAGTAATAGTCCCACTCTCGGTGTTTAGAAAAATAAATATATGCACACAGCACTCGGAGCGTGTAGTTGGCGCACTGTTATTTTATTACATAGATGTGATTGTATAGATCATAATCGTTTAGGTCAATAAATTATTTCACTGATTTTTATGGTTACGTACAAGTTAGTATTGCGTTGGTATCCAACAGTGTGCACACATTTACAGCAAGTTAAAATCATTTGTCAAGGTTTTCATAAATAATTTTTAAAATCGATTTAGTAGTTTCGGAGTCTATTCGATGCAACTAACAAGCATATAAACAAACAATCCAAACTTTCCTCTTTATAATATTAAGTATAGACGGTCGAGCCCTCAATAGCGACTGTAGTGTAGGAGATATGAGTATTCTACAGGCGGGATGGAACGTCCCGTCGCCTCGTTTCGTCTAAAAGTATACATATTCATATCGGAGTATCGATGGCAAAACAAAACTTAATATCGGTCGGGGAGGGTAGGTAGACAGCGTACCTGCCTGTCGCGCACCCAACGGTAGGCGGCGGCGGTGAGCGCGTACAGATGCGGCGGCAGCAGGTGCGGCGCGCGCGCCAGGTACGCGCGCACCGCCTCCGCCGAGTACAGCGGCAGCGCGCGGCACGGGTTCACCGACACCAGCGCGTTGCCCACGTACGTCTGCACAGCACCGCCGCCGACACCGGCGCATATTAAAACGACGCCAGAGATTCTGTCCGACGACGGTAGAGTGGACTTCGTATGAGTAGATAAAATATTTTGTGATTCAGATTACTCAATTTTTGTGCCATCGTCGGCCGTTCGAATCGCCCGTCGAGTCCGGACGATGATATCTTTAGCAGAAGATGTATCGTGAATCTCTTAGATGTTCATCGTCGATGTCGATCAAGCGGAGCGCGTGAAAAGGGAAGGGGATAATTTGAGCATCGCGGTATTCGCATACTAACGTAGATGAGGTCCCGTTTGTATCGCACGTGGAGATTGTGCAGAAAGGTGTCCTCGGTGAGCGGCGCGAGCAGCACGGCGTCGGGCTGGCCGTGCCCTCCCCCGCCCCCGCCCCCGCTCGCCTCGCCCTCCGCCATCTACCCTCGCGTCACCGCACCCACGCCCCCCACCACTCGCTCGCCCGCTGCTTCATCGCATCACCGAACTCCACCGCATCGACTGAATACAGATACGACACCTTAAATCTGATCATTCCCGACCGAGCTAGTTTGATAACGGCCCTCCGGCATGAACGGAGAGTGCCCGAACATTGTAGTTATGCCGAGTTGGTCTATTAAAGTGCGATTCTACTGTACTGTGTAACGGTGCATCGTACCACACCGTTTATTTTATCCAAGGTTTCCGCATCCAAACTATTTGTCTTTGATCTTTAACATTTTTCGTAATTTGAAATTTTTTGTAACGCGATATGCTCTTTCTGAATGTCAGTTCGTAAAAAATCTTTTGACAATGTAAATTAAATAAATATTTTTAGTATGTACATTTAAAATCTATGCTGCGATTTACGAGTTGTATTTTATGAAGTGTATATGTATAAAGAATCATGTCCGCTTCCCATAAATTAATTACCTGCCCCTTTTTTTAAAGATCGCCTCTTTCCACCATTAGAGACAATTTAAATTAGTTTTTGCTTAAAATAGAATTGAAATAAGAATATCTTAGCATTTTATAATTTGGAGGCCTGAGATTCGTAATTTGTAAATAATGTTTTGAGGTTATAACAGCTGTTAAAACTCGAGATAATTATGAAGCTACTTAAACAATGAATGCATTCAAATCTAAATTATTTATAGTTTAACTTGTAAATATATAAATAAATCTGAATGTAATTGTAAATGTGCACTTTTTACCTTTAAAACGAAAGAATATTTTTTCCGTAGTAGATGAAACGAAACGCAGCAAACCGTCATTGGGGCCGAATTGCATTGGGGTAGTGTAGCAAACCATCATTTTAGTGTCCGATTCGCATTCAGGTAGTTCTAATAGTTCTATTTAAAAATTATTATCACCAACGCAATGAGGAAGTATTTAAAAAAACGAAAGCACTAAAAAAGCACCTCCACTAGATGGCGAATCCGGCGAAAGTTAATTTTTGCAGGAAACGAATGGACCAAAGACAGTCATTTCCGTTCCTTTTAACTAACATATTAAATAACTGAAATTTGAAAAGTTCGAAACTTAGATATCAATACAAATACGAAAAAGTACAAATAGAATATGAGTTGTTTATTAAATTTTGAAAACTAATTTACTTTTAAACATGAAAGTAAACCGGAGGGTTGTCATGAAGAAATCAAGAATTTCGGGAACTAATTTTTTTTTTAATACTTCCGCGCTACATTGCGCCGGTGATAATAATTTTGTAAAATATGCGGCTGAAATAAGTAAAAAATATTTTTTTTTTTTGGGAATATGACCCATCACTAGACGCGTTAGTAAATTTTTAGGTCAAAATTGGACACGATTCTTTGCGTCGTATCTTTAAGATTAACTTCATATTTTTATAAATTCATACGTTTTTATATTCTTTTTTGTATTATATATTATTTTATCAATCCTAGTCAGCTGTTTCATTTTCCAAACAACTACAAGCATCATACCCGTCACAAATTTAAACTCGAATAGAAACATCTGAGTTTCTTTTTTATTAATTTATTATTTTAAATCTAAGATACAATATTATTTGGAATTATCCAGCAAAACCGTATAAAGGGTTTGACTGATCCGGACCGGATCATGAGCCTCTTTTAAAGAAAATCATATGGCATTATCTTCAACAGGCTTCTCCGCTCGACGTCAAAATTGCGCCTATTTTAGGAGGATGTGTGATGATACTACTCCAGCCAGCCCAGCTCCGGCCTCCTGGAGGTTACCCGGCGAGCCGAGGTGCTATGCCCTGTAGTTGGCCACTCCGTTGCATTCCAGCAGGACGTGAGCGGCTGTTTCTTCTGCCTCCATGCATTGAAAAGGTGCCTGTTGAATTGCCATGACGACCTGTGATAGCACCTGTTACCAGGCGCAATAATTTACTTAGCTGTAAGAAGGACTTGGGGAGACGTGCGAAGTGCGAGTTTAGCCTGCCTACAGGTCTCCAAGTAAACTTGATTGCTCCCGTACCTCACTAATTAGCCAGTTTATCGGTATAGAAATTATCAGCTCGGGGCCCAATGGCGTTGCGTCTGATTCTCTGCGTGCCAGTTCATCAACTGCATCATTCCCACATGTCCTTTTATCCATTGGCTAGTAATTTTATTTTGTGACCATATTATGTTTAGAACCTGGTGACACTTATATAGAACACTCGATCTGACAGAGCTGCCTTTAAGAGCCTGTAGGATGATTTGCTGTCCGAAAAGATGAAAAGACCCTGTTACCTTCCTTGTAGTTATCGCTCTCGCCGCCATGATAATCGCTATACACTCAGCTTGAAAGAATGTATTGTATGAGCTGAGGGGCCAAGAAGAGATTTAATACTCAATAAGTTTATTTATGTTGAGGTCCTCAGAAAATACTCTTACTTACTCTTAATAATAGTTTTGGAGCCATTTGTAAAGACTATGAGGGCCTTGTGAATTACCTTTGGATTTTCAGTGTCCATAAGATGTATCTTATATTTTTTTATCTTTATCACATGATTAGTTCGTAATCCAAGACATCCAAGCAATTGTGATTTATATTATTCTTGGTCTATTTATTTGTATAACTGTCTGGTAATCTCTTAATATAGCTCATTTAACGAACAATCAGAGAAAATTAAAGACTACCATTAGCTAAGGAATTACATCAAACCATTCCTATGATTTGTGTCATATGGCAAGACACTGAGACTGTTTTAGTACCTTGTACCTTTTGTTGGAACTCAAAAATTTATGGAAGAGAAGAGTAATGGAGAGGAGAACCTATAAGAGATTGTGCTATTTTAACTAACATGACTACAACACATTTACTTATAGTGATTATCAAATACTGTAAATTCATCTCCTCCAATAAAATGTAGTCCAAATTACTAAGTTGTGCAGCCAGAGGATTGGGGTGGTTATCCAATCTTGGGGGCCGCTCCCCACCCTTCCACCTGAATTACGTGTATCTCTAGTACCTACAAAAAAATCTTGTTTAATGCTACTTTTTGGTTTAGTAATTGCGCGTTTGAGGAAAAATAAATACATGTGATGTGATATGATACTACACCTCACCCTCCTCCTTGTGATATTTCGTGGCTTTTGACAAACCCCCGCCCCCTCCCCTTTCAAGCCTCACATGATTAATGGACAGCCCCTAGACATATATTTCTTAGAAAAGTTATTAAATCTTTTCTTTGACTGTGTTCATACTCATAGCCTTCAGTGTTTATAATGAAACATGGTGCATTGTATATTTGTTTTAAATATATATTTTGAGTACATTGTATTTTAGATATGTTGGAGTTAGAGACTAATCCCCACAGTTGGATGCAGTAGGAAAATATAACTTTATAAGTTTTTAAATTTTAATAGTTAATATCTTCAAGTCTACTGAATCGATTTTGATATGAAACTTGTAGAGTTAAGCCAATAAACAAAAATAATAACTGTAATATAACATCTAGTTTGCTAACAATATGTGGACATACAAACACCAATAAAATTTAGCAATATTTTGATTAATTTTGCATTCACAATGTTATACTGAAAATTATTCTTAATACAAAATGCTTAAAAAATCCACTTGGTCCCTGGCACCCTGAGATGGGAATCAAACCCATGTCCTTTCGCAATCCGGGCGACTGCTTTAACCGCTTAGCTACCCAGGACCTAACAGGATTGACAAATCTTTCAAGCACATGTAACTTTTTCTACTACAGAGTGTATTCTCATCAATGTTCAGGCATCCATTCTCATCTTTATTGAAAGTTTCATGATTTTTATTTCTTTCAGCTGTTTGCCAGGGACCAAGTGGATTTTTTAAGCATTTTGTATTAAGAATAATTTCCATGTTTAGAATCCCATACAGACCAATTAAATTACAGACATAGACCTCGAATTGATAAGATAGTCACTCAAAAACTAGGACTAGATAATTAAAAATTTCCCTATATTCCATATAATTGAATAATGCTGGCAACATTAGTTTTACCTAGCGTCCTGTTTTTGCTACTTTTTGTAGAAACATTCCATTTCTGGCTTATTTTATTTTAATAAGTTGTAAAGGTAACAAGAAAATAAAATTAATAAGTCATGAAATATTGTTCTTTTTTGCTATTCATTTTATGATAATATAATGTTACAATGGATTTCATTGATTTAGGGGGCCAATAATATTTTTATTAAAAAAACGCCTGTAGGAAACCCTTAAGTAACTATTAACCACTGTAAGTTTTATTTCACTTGACCTAGTTCCAGAGTTAGAATAGTTCTACATTATAGAAGTGATGAATTATTAATTCTAAATTTCACTAGTGACGCTAATCCATTTTATTAATTTGATATAAATGATTATTTATAGATCCCTGTAAATAATTATAGTTAAATAAACTTATAACACAGTACTCACCTGGAGCAATAATTAAAATTATGATAAAGTTCCAAAATAGCAAACGTGATCACATAGACATTTTAATAAAGTCTTTCACGATTTGTGAGAAAAATCTGAAAATTAAATAATTTCACAGACTTAGTAGGTATCAGACGACCAACTTCCTAACAAAAAATTTCTTCGTAGAACGTGATTGGGAGCCAGTGATACATGATAGCTTCATTCGTTTTAAATATATAGATCTACTATCGGCAAAGGCATTTAGCTATACAGCCCTGTTTTGGGTAGGTACCTAGCCATCTTCCTAGTTTCCACGTTATTTTTACTTTAATTTAAATTCCTTTTTTGTTTTAATACAACAATAATAATAAAGCAGACTGATAAGTCTAGCTTATTATTATTGTTGTATTAAAACAAAAAAGGAAAAATGAACACGTAAATAAAACACACATTTTTCCAATATTATTTATTGAATAATTTATTTTTTAACTTATTATATTTTTCACAGCTCTCTTCTGCATTCTCGGCAATTCCTAGCTACGTTTTTTTAGTGGCACAACCTTATGAAACTTTTCAAGGTAATCACAATTTTTTTTAAAGAGGGCACTGATTAAATTTTTCTAAAATTTCAATTGACTTTGGCCAGAAAGAATGATGGTGTGTCTTATCTGTCACAGCTCTTTTCCTTTATGCTTTTTTTGTTTATTGATGCTCCATTGACACTATCAAATAATTGGTCAAGAATGAAACAACTTCAGCTGCATTTCTTAATGTTGTGCACATCCTAATAAGTTGCTGCAAATTAAAATATTCATATAATAATAGTATGAAACTTTATTCAAAACACTTAACTGTTAGTAAATTTCATCTAATACTCACAGAAATTTGCAGTGTAAGACAAAGCTGCAGACATATTTTTACACAATTTTTTACCTGCAAAAAGAGATATCATATTTAAAATTATCTTCATTAGAGAATCATTATTGTAATTTAAGAGTAAACTATATTAACTACTTGTTACATAATTAAAAATACAGGTCATTGTATCAACACTTGCTCTGATAGGGAATATAGAAGCTGAATACAAATTATTTATTTTATTTATACTAATTTAAGTTATACTAATATAATAACCAATGCATTACCTTCATCATTTTAATTTTATCAGGTATAACTCATTGGTCATTTAATTTATGACGTAGCCCAGCTTCAGTGTGTTGACAGTCTGTCTCATAGACATAAATAATATCATGCCATTTTGCAAGTTTACCACCAAAATTATTCCTGATACATTTTATCAAGTGTGTAGAATCATAATGTTCAAATCCATCCCACATATTTTAAGAATGCCAACTGAAACAAAAATTTAAGAACTTCTTAAAACATAGATAACAATATAAAAATAAGAACCTTCACTACTTTCATTAAATCTATTAGTTTTCTTTCATATAAATATAATTATCTGTACCAACCTGTGATTTCAATTTTAAATTTGATCACACTAAGTGTCTTCTTTTAGATTTTTGAGTGCTGATTGGAAAGCTGAACCTTGGTTATATATTATTGCAATGGGATTAAGGTCCAATTCAACAACTTTTTCTACTACTAACTTTAAATATTCTTGATGTACAGTAGATGTCGCTCCTTGACAGAAATAAATAAACATAAAGGCTGTTGCCACTTGTAAACAGCACCAACATAAATACAAGAGTATGATCTGCAAAATCCACTTTCTTTTCTTGGTGTTCTACAAATCCATTAATGTTATCCTTAATCCTTATTACTTTTATTATATGAAAGTGCTGTTTCTAATGACATCTCATCAATTATAATGGAGCATATTTTTTTTGGAGTTTCATTTGTCCACCTGAAAAAGTAAATTCAAACAGTAGTAGAAAAATTAAATATTATTATTTGGTAGTAATACATAAATATATAAAAGTAGTATGAAAAAACTTATATGGAATATATTTACCTCTTACATGAAGCCTGGTTCTATGATCAATTTTCTAATCATAGTATTCAGTGTAGTTTTGGATGATAAAATAAAAAATTTTGCTTACTTTGGACTCTGCTTTGATATTGATAAAGCAATTATCTTTTCTTCGGTAGTGAATCACCTCTCATGTTTATTTTTAGAGCACATGCTCACATGCATTTCAAAAACATTTTTGCAACTGTATTCATTTTTTGTCTGAACTTCTCAAATGATAACTTTTTACAAAACTTAAAGGTATTTAAGTATTCTTAACTTTTTTAAGAAAGTTAAACTACGTCTTTGGCTTGTTATATTCTTCATAAATTCTCTGGTATAAAGGTGACAATTGGCTTTATTTTACAAAAGCCTTTTCCTTTTTGTATGGGTACATTTCACAGGGTCTGTAACATCAAAAGTATTCAGTGAATTTCTCTATTAGAACTACTATTTGATTGAAATAAAGATACACTAAAGAAAGAGACAGGTCTTACCAGATAGTTTAGTTTGTGTCATATTTTAATCTCCAAAGCAAGCAACTAATTGAGTAAACTCAGTAGCTGCAGACACAGGAGTCTCAATTTGTTCTTTTAAAATTACACCACCTATGAAATCAATATTGATTATGTGTGTAAGAAAGAGAGATCTACTAGACTTTTTAAAGCAAAAATCTATATTAAAATACACCAAAACTGCAGCATGAACTTTGTTATCTAAATAAAATAAATTAAAAACAAACCTCTGTTCAGTTCCACTTTCTAATATTTGTGGTCAACAAGACTTTTTCTTGCATAGCTGTGTTCCCAAGTGAATATAATTTCTGTAATAAAAAAAAATCTTATGAAGAATAGCAGTATTCCAAAACACAACATAAAGTAAAGATACATATCATTTTAATTACATTATCTAAAGGTAATAGCAGATTAAACCAGCCTTACCAGTATTGCTTGAAGAGGGTAGGCTGATTGAGAGCCCATCATCATTAAACAATGACGGATATGCATCACCCAAGAGTCATGATTTTGGAGTGATGAATCTTGGTACATCATGTTTGCTACAAATGACACTTCTGCCTGGATTACAATTTTCAGTATCACACATAGCACTAAGACATTGTAACCACTTGGAGAATCTTTTCTCGTTCACTAGAATCTTACAGAGAATAGCGTCCTGTTCGTACTTTAACAATGCGTGTAACACAACCATAACACAACACACCAATTTCTTAGGCATCTTCTACAAATAAAAATACTTCGAAAAATGGAGAGTTTATATTACAAATAAAGCGAACAGGGTAAGCACAAAAGAAACTTTACTCAATCACTTGTAATTCCCTGATATGTAGGTACATACTTTAGTCTTCTTCTTCTTTTATTAATGGCATATCTGCGCATTTCACACAATTTTGCCAATGTGAAATGAATAAATTAATTCCAACAAGTAAAATTAATTAAAGATTAATTAAAACATTAGTATCTTTACTCTTTGTTGTAATGACAGTTTCTGTCAGGTGTCATGTCTCCATCTACTAACAGGGGTGAGGGGCGTGTGGAAATGTCATACATCACTGGACCCCTACGGGATTGGTTTATTGTACGGAGTTGACGGGCCGTGAATAATTTCATTTATTTTCTTTTTTTATCACAGACATCAGACATACAGATTAGGGATGTTCAAATATCGTCGATATATCGAAAGTACTCGATGTTTCCATACGATATATCGGATTATTTCGATGTTTTGAAAAATATTTTTCTATTCGATATATCGAATATCGATACATTTATAACACAATATCGAATCGATTAAATAACGTTGACAACTGACTCATGGTGACAATAAAAGCTAAAGTAAATTTTAACATTACAACATTTTCACTTTGATTTTTATAACATGACATCAATTTTTCAGACGTCCTAGGGCGAGTTGTACTCGGCAACTAAGTTTTGCCAAGCCAATTGCTAATCTTTTGTTGTAGCCCCGTCTATTTTCTTGTTTTCTATAATAAGATATTTCTCCACTAATTTTAAAAGGTGCATTTTTTCAGCAATTGTGAAATTAGGTGCCCTGGATCTCTTCATTATTTTATTTCGGCAGTACAAACGGTTTATTGGTATTTTTTAGTAATTAATAAACAGTTTTACTCTACTTTATAAATAACTATGAATGATGAAATGGCGCGGCGACTTCAAAAAAATGTATGTTGATATTGAGTTTTGACAAAAACGATGATGACGTTTGTTTTTCTAAACTGATTTTATGGCGCCGGACTCTAGTCTTTTCAACAAAAACGGAACATAAGGAATAAATGGTGAACGAATAATATGCTAAATCTCGGTTTAGTTAAACTGGTTATGATTTTAGGATCTGCAAGATAACTTTAGTTAGATCTAAGTTAAGTCGAGTTTAAGGCTAAGTCTGGATTTAATTAAATCGAGATTTTGGAAATTTTACTGCAATTGGGCCTAAAAAAGGAAAACATTGAATTTTCAAAAAAATACTCGATATTTAAAAAATATCGATGTTTTTATACGATATATCGAAAAACATCGATGTCAGTTCCGATATTTTATATCGAGTATTCATATCGATATATTTTTTAAGTGGACACCCCTAATACAGATCACAGACCAAGAAGGTTTATGCTAATGGTGTGCGAAATCGATTACCATTAATAAATTAATTGATTTTTCAAATAATCAGTTGCTATCGATTATTATTTCATAATCGACGATTAACCATCAATTATTTCTAGAAACGTTAGCATAGGAATAGTTAAAAACGTTAGTATAGTACGTACTCACTTTACTTCGATGGATCAGCAACCGATAGCGAATCGCGAGTGTGAATATTATTATTATATATTCTAATACTTATTATGGCAATCCTGGAATACTCCCACGAACAAATAGGTAACTATATTCTTTGGTCGGGGAACTCCAGATGAATGAATGAACGGATCTTAGAGTTTTATTTTAACAAATACAAATTAACCGTTTCTTACTAAATGCACATGTAAGTATACACGGTACATACCTATACCAAAATAATATTTTTTACAGTTTTTGTCTATCTGTTTGTTCCGGCTAAACTCTGAAATGGTTAGACCAAATTTGACGGGACTTTCACTGGCAGATAGCTTGTGTAATAAGGAATTACTAAGGCTACTTTCTACGCAGACGAAATCGAGGGTACAGCTAGTATAGTAAACATTGTCTTAAAATTGATTTTTAACTATTATTCAATATATTGGATTGCTTAAAATATGGTGGAATTAATCTGAAATCACCAATAAACCTTTGAGGTAAAAATATTTAATAATCGTTGACACGAAACGATTATTATTAATTATTAATCGATTACGTGTAATACAGTAATCAATTAATCGATGTGTATAATAATCAAATCAGCACATCATTAGTTTGTGCTACTATGGCCCATAGATAATATATAATATTGGTACTATGGTCACCGACAAAGAAGGGAAACTCGGATTAATATGGGGTTGAAATTTTATTAGTTCGAGATACACAAACGCTACTCGATTAATACAAATTAATCTTTGAATAAATTTCTTTTTATTTGTATAGAGGAAAATGGAAATAAAAAAAAGAAGAAGAAGAACTCGATCAACACTGACAAATATTATTATCTTTAGTCCAACGTCATAAATTGATATTTAGATCTAACAGCAATATGTGATGCCATCTAGTGACATAATTTTTTTGTATTTTTTTTTTTAATATTTCCTCATTGTAATAATTACATTTTTCAAAGTTCATGCATATAAAATTACTTTTCGTGACTGTATGGGCGTGTGTGTGTCTGTCTGTTTTTTTTTTGTTTGAAAGGTGTATTGGTCCGGAGCAAAAAGAAAAATAATATTTCCGGAGTGTTTTGTGGCGGCAGCCATCTTGGATTGATTTTCATCCTCCGACGCGACAACATTTAATAAAAACATATATACGGTCAAAAGCAGGTCAAAGTACTTGCAGTTTAATATTAGCGCAAAGTTCAAAGTGAAATAGTCTGACATGCTGTTGTCTGTAACTATGTAGGGTCATAATGTCAAGGTCATTTTTTTCTTTTTAATTATCTTATAAAAAATATAATTTATATTTAAAAAATATTAAGTAAAAATAAAAAATGTTAACTTAATTTATGCCTGGACTAGACTTAAAACATCCCCTGAGTTCTCAGTCGGAGATGAAGACTTTCCTCTGAGTAGACTGACTGAAAACTCGATACTTAATAATAAAAGATTGTTAAATATAATAAAATATGATTTATTTGCTTTTTTATTATCTGGTACTAGCACTAGAATCTTGCTATATTGCCGTAGATTTTAAACTATAGTTTTCTTTTAAATTATATCCAATTTTATAATACTATTTTCGAATGAAACACCATCCAAAATATTTAAACTTTGTATGTAGTTGCTAATTTATTGCTTTTTCAAATTTATTGTTATTGTTTGTATTTCATTCAATTTTTTATGTACTTTACGTAACTTTTTATTTCTTAAAAATTTACGTTATATAATTAATACGAAATTAATTAATAAAAAGGGAAAAGACTAATACTTTAAGGTCAAAGCAGCCAAATGTCAACTGCCTTCTTCTTCTTCTTTTTAACCATAGAGGAATAATATAGGTTGGCGTTCTTAACTTTAATGGTTCTTGGTTCTTTGCGTCTCCACAATACTGCCAACTTCACGTAGGAGCTCAATATGAATACATGATTTAAATACATTAATTCAACCAAACAAAAGAATAATGGCAACTGTCAATAATCTGTATGAGGCAAAACTCGATACCGTCAATTTTAATAAATACTTGATGCAGAATCAAGTATCTAATATCGAGTATAGTTTTAGAAAGCATCGATTCCTACTCGGTATCAAAAAGTATCGTTCACTAAGTCTGTGCTATCGTTCGAACATAACACTACTCTTTGGTTCGAACCCTATCCAGTGCTTGTCCGTGGCTGTATGGCTTAGTTCCTTCGCCTGTCCCATGGACGAATTATAATAAAATACTACTACCAGTGCTTGTCCGTCAAAATCAAAATCATAATCTTTAGAAACGATGTCTAGCACATGAACATTTAATGAGGTCATGGAATGTTGATTGGGAAAATACTAGAAATAGAGCGGGAAAATATTATTTTGAAATTCAGAGAACTATCCCCAGTACTCCCTGGTTCTTTAAGGAAAAGCTTTTAAGTAAAAAAACGATTTCAATTATTTGTCGCCTGAGAATTGGACATGTGTGTACGCCGGTTCGACTTGCCAAATTTAAAATTAAAGACAACCCCCTCTGCGATTGTGGCATTGAGGAAGGAACTACGGATCATATTTTATTTAATTGTTCAAATTTATCCATTTCGCTTTATGATTTGCTACCATCAAAAGTTCCACGTCCAACAAATATAAAATGTATCTTGAGTATGGAGAATCCCAGCCCATTCAAAATTTTAGCAAAATTCTTTGCAATCAATAATAGTCTTAATTTATAAATATATTTGTTTTCTATATACATTCTATTTGTATTATCTTTAACAATGTAATCAGATAGACGCGCTCAGAGCTATTTTTTTTATTTTATTGAAATTCAAAATTTTACATATTTTATTATTGTTTCTATACGTGTAAAGACCACAAACGTGACATTGGCGGAATTGTGTAAATGCAAATAGGCCATGAATTAAAAAAGAAGAAGAAGAAGTAGAAACGATGTCATTTATTTTATATAATTAGAGTGTCAAATAAGAAAGAAACTATTTCTATTTCTTTTAGTCACGTGAATTATGGTTATGTTTACCAAATATTTACAAAAAACATACTCTTTTACTTACAATAATCTACGTCGAATTAGTATGACGACCCCGAATTTAGAAAAAGTATTGGAAGATCTACAAAAAAATCCCTATTATGAAAAATACTCTGCTAGAATTGCTGCCCTTCAGAAAACCTCGCCAGAAGAATTCTCTCAAAGAGTTGAACAACAGCTAACTGCGAAAGAAAAAGAAAAGAAGAAAAAATTTGGAACCGTCGACACCAGGTTACTTTTAAATATTGAGTAAATTTTAAAATATAATTATGCATTTACTTGCCCATTATTTCACCGTGCATTCAGATTTTTTTGTGTATTCAATGAGTTTATTATGTTTACAGACAATTTTCGTCAGCATTAAACCCCAAAGAGGCATTTAAAGGTGATGCTGCTTTAAAGGATAATAAACTTGAAGATATTTTTAAAATTGATCTTGTGAAAGATAAAGATTCAACTGAGATACAAAGTATTTGGGAAGAATATTACAAGAATAAAGAGGTGATATCTGCAACTATCCCAAAACAAGTGTATGCAGCGTTACAGAAAAATATGAAAGAATGCCCTACTTTTCTTTTTCCACTTCCACGGTCTCAGGGATATGAATTTATTATGTGCCAAAGTTATGGTCACACTGTACACTTTACACCTCTACTAGCTTATCAGGTAAGCATTTGGGTTTAATACCTGATGGTTAGTTGAATCTATTAGACCTATTTATTCAGGGTAGTAAAATATGTTAATCATATGTTTTTACAGTTTTTATACTGATAATTCTTTTCATGCACAATGGGCAGATTAAAGCATCTAAATGCAAAAAATTGGAACCCCATGGGCTAAGTTACCCCACTGATAATTCAACTCACAATATATTATATTGTTTAGATTCTACATTTATTTATAGACATTCCACTGAGCAAATAAAACCCTTGTTAAATGGCATGATTATTTATAGTGCTTACTAGGTGCCAGTTAGAAAGTCCATAAATATAAATCATTACTTTCAAAATAATATTTGGTGAAATTCATTTTTTATTCTGTGGTAATGATAATAACATAAAGTTATCTTTTTAGTTATTACTTCCTAAATAATTTAAATGTGTTTGTCATTTAGGTTCATAAAGAAAATGCTCCAGAATGTCTCACCGTGATACACTACACTGAACTTTCTGACAAGGGGATTGTACTTATGAAGGGAGAATATGATAAGGTAAAGTACCAATCTTCTTTAAAAATAATTCTTCCTTGATGATATCTACATAAGTAGTCTGATATTTTGTAAATACAGGAATATATATCAAATAGTTTGTTAGAAACTCATTAATCCAGTTACTTACACAATACAAAACAAAGATCACACAGATAAATTTAATGAATATTTATTATATTTTAGAATGTGCTGAATGGACAGGAGGCACAATGCCTTGCCAACCAGTTTCAAATGTATTATAGTGGGAATGATGACAACAAGCTTAAGTTATTGCGAAGCTTTACCACAAGTCCAGATAAATTTAAACATATGGATTTAATTTCACAGTTAGAGAATATAGGTTTGGTTTGAAAATATTTATTATCTAATTAATCTAAAGTTGTATAGATATTTGTAGAATTACATTTTTTAAATACAATCCAGTTTTTGTCTTGCACTGCAAATATCGGAAATGATTGCCAAGTCTTGCATAACAGATTCAGTACTGACTATTTGCTGTGGAAAATATTACTGAATTAATTTTAATTCATACCTCATGAATAGAAATTGTGTAAAGTAGCTAATACATACCTGTTTGTTTTTGTTTTATTCATTAAAATAAACTGTTATTAATAACAAAAGACTATAATCAATTGTAATCTCTCGTACTTTCTTATCTACATTTTATCATTACTTTTCTAACATTCTCCAGACTAAGATGCATGTCATTAATAGAGTGAGCTGATCATTATAATTAGTCACTCAAACGGCCAGTCTGGCATTCACTTTAAAGAAATCATAAAACTCATTTAAGATTATTTTTATTATGAAGCAACAAATATGTCTAGATTTTCTTTTTTTTCTTATGAAATTTATCTACAATTAAAATATAACTTCTTTGTAATATGAAGCAAATAAGAAAGTATTAAAGTTATAAATTTAATTTGTGTGGAAAAAAATCGTATTCTGGCATGTGTGATAGTGGTGAATGCAGATTTTGTGTCTCATAATATGATGAATATGAGCCATCCCTAGTAGGCGGGTCTTCATCAGAATCCTCCTCTCTGTGATTATAGTAACTACTACGCATCATACAGCCAAGTTTTATGTAATCCATAGGATTTTGGATAATTTTTTCTTTTATTGAGTATCCTTCCCAATCATCACTTGTTGCAATACAAATCTTATTAATTTCATTATGAAACGTTAGGGGGCGGATTTTTTGTAAAGATTCTTTAGTTTTTCTAACAACCAAGTCATCTTTAGGAGTCAAAAAATTATTTTTGATATACATAGAAATGGTATCTAAGAGTTCTTCATACAAGAGATTTCCATAATTATCTTCAGACAAGCTAGACGACATTGTCTTTTCATTGTTAGCACTGTCAAAATTGCAACTTTCCACAGACATATATTTTAAGGGACTTGATGGAATTAATTCATCAGAACAGTTTTCTTTAATATCATTATAGTTTTGGATGTTGTTTGTGTCTAATTCGTGATTAATAATGTAATCTCTGCATGGCTTTGATGAACTTTGATGACAATCAACAATGTCTTTAACGGCTTTTGAATGAGTGTTACGTTTTCTGTTATTGCTTTGGTGCTGTTCACAACGTATGTTTGAAAACAATGGCCTGGTAATTGTTTCAGATCGCACTGCATTTGTAAACATATTTATCTTGGACAAATTTCCTTTTATATAATTATGTTTTATTTCAATACATTTTTTTTTGAATTGCGTTTCTAATGAGGCAAAATCTTTACGACATCTTTTTCTCATTTCATCGAGATATTTACGTGTTTTTCGTTTTTTACGTTTGGTCCTGACAAATGCTTCCATGAAATCTCGTAAATCAAACGAATAATCCTTTTTGTCTTAATCAAAACGGATAACTTAATATCAAAACGAAGATAATTTGTTATTATAAACAACGTCTTCTTCTTTTTAATTAATGGCGTTGCCCTATGTCGCTATTGTTCGTTTTGCTTTTGTGCAGTCCGGCATAGGGATGTTCAAATATCGTCGATATATCGAAAGTACTCGATGTTTCCATACGATATATCGGATTGTTTCGATGTTTTGAAAAATGTTTTTCCATTCGATATATCGAATATCGATACATTTATAACACAATATCGAATCGATTAAATAACGTTGACAGCTGACTCATGATGACAATAAAGGCTTAAGTAAATTTTAACATTACAACATTTTCACTTTGATTTTTATAACTTGACATCAAATTTTCAGACGGCCTAGAACGAGTTGTACTCGGCAGCTAAGTTTTGCCAAGCCAATTGCTAATCTTTTGTTGTAGCCCCATCTGTTTTCTTATTTTCTATAATAAGATATTTCTCCACTAATTTTAAAAGGTGCATTTTTTCAGCAATTGTGAAATTAGGTACCCTGGATCTCTTCATTATTTTAGTTCGGCAGTACAAATGGTTTATTGGTATTTTTTAGTTATTAATAAACAGTTTTACTCTACTTTATGAATAACTAAAAATTATGAAATGGCGCGGCGACTTCAAAAAAATGTATGTTTATATTGAGTTTTGACAAAAACGACTTCATAGACAAATATTAACACAGTATAAATAATAATATTCTACAAATAACCTGCCATGTAGGGATGATCGATATTAGAAAAACATCGATGTTCAATATTTATCGTAATCTGAACATCTATGTTGAATAACATAGATGAATTTTTACAACAATTTACAAAGCAATAAAATACAGTGAATCTTTCGAAATTTATTAGAAAACAGAACAAATCATTACATATTCCAATATTTTATATCAAATGATTGAAGGAAAACTAATTTTGATAAGGAAGAAACTTTTAATCTATTTCTTTATTGATAAAGAGTCAAACAAGCCAACTTTTCTAAACATGTATGTAAAATATGTATTTCAAGATGTGTATATATTACATACACTAAACTTCTGTTTTCTTTTTATCAAAATTTCGATGTTTTTTGTAATATCAATTAAACATTGTGATCCGAGGGACTTCTTTCGTGAGTCAAACTTTAGTTAGTTTAGCAGAAGTCAGTCAAATGCGAAGCTACCCGACACCGAAAAAGTGCAAAACAAAATCAGCAAGCAATTAGTTTCGTAATCTTCTTAAGTGCAACTTATTTATTTTTGTTCTCAAAATAACCTATCAAATCGTAACAGTCATTGAAGTACGTTATCGGTTAATTATAGGGTACCAAAGAGCGCCGAAGTCGACAGATTTATTTTTAACTTCCTTGGAAAATGCAAGCAAAGAAAAAACTATTTGTTTTGAAATAGCGTCAGCGTGGTCGGGAGAAATGATACTATGTTTCAGGTTGTAGATCTCCATTTAACTAAACAATATTCGTCTTATATACTCCTTAAATCTAAGAGGGGATATTAGGGTACGTGATATGTAACTGCTAAGGAAGCACATTCATCAAACGTGAATTATTTGCATATTAGTGCATTCCGTTCAAATCATGTTTATAACTTGATTCTTAATATTTACATACTACAGTTTCGTACTTCAATTACGAGTGCAACCGGTGACATCTAGTGAAAAATTGTTGAACTTGATATACGAGATCATCTATACTCCATTCATTATAACATTAGAAAAAAGAGGATCTTAGAAGCAGCAGTGCAGAACATTTTATTTACAAGATAAATTTAAAAAATATTTATAATAGTTTTGTTGAAATTTTGAACTTTAGGTAGTCTGAAAGAGTTGGAAAATTTTACATTTTCTCGGGGTTGAGATGAGACTAGCATTTTCTAAATTCATCTTTTACTGAGAGCCAACATGGAAATAAAACTATCTGTTGTTTTGATTGATTCTAATTGTAAGTGTATATAATTAGAATATAATTTAGTTATATCTATGCCCAGAAAATAAAGGTCAACAAAATGAAATTTTTATTATTACTGTTACAACATTTATTCAGATATTATTAGACTATTGATTAAGACTGGAAAAACTTGCTGAAATGTCAAAGGTAATTGTTGTAGGCCACTCGAGCCTGCACCGGAATCGCAATCCAGCAAAACTTAACAACAAAAAGATAACAACTAAAACAAAACAACAATAAAACAGTAATTACTCAATCACTGAAAATGGCAAAACAACAAGAAAGGCATGGTATTTAGTAGCATTCACAATGAATGACAATCCCAGATTACGTATTTTGACTATTATGAATAAATCATAATCTGACAAAATTAAAAAGCTGTACTGCCGAAACGTTTGAAAGGATTAGGCAACGTTTTAAATTTGGTGGAGTTATAGTGACATGAGAATCGTGCCGAAACTATCTAACCCTGCTTCTTTAGGTTCTTTATTAATATTAAATAGTTAATAATAATTATTAAATGTTTTAAGTCAGTCAAATACTCATAAATTTGTCTAATATATAGCTTAAAAGACAACGGTTAAGTATAGCAGCTGGTATTTAAGTGGATATGTAGCAAATTACCCGTTAGTCTTAAGAGTAACATGATTGTTGACATTTTCTCGCAAAGAACCTTAATACCATAAAAAGAACCTTAATTTCATTCTGTCTAATGCTATAATGAATGGAGTATAGCTAGTACATCTAGAAAACATCGATGTGCTAGAAAACATCGATGTGCCGATGTTATCAAAGTTAAAACATCGATATTTTCTAGTTGAACATCGATGTTTATTAAACATCGATGTTCAACTAGAAAATCCCTACTGCCGGACTAGGGGTGTCCACTTAAAAAATATATCGATATGAATACTCGATATAAAATATCGGAACTGACATCGATGTTTTTCGATATATCGTATAAAAACATCGATATTTTTTAAATATCGAGTATTTTTTTGAAAATTTCAATGTTTTCCTTTTTTAGGCCCACTTGCAGTAAAATTTCCAAAATCTCGATTTAATCAAATCCAGACTTAGCCTTAAACTCGACTTAACTTAAATCTAACTAAAGTTATCTTGCAGATCCTAAAATCATGACCAGTTTAACTAAACCGAGATTTAGCATATTATTCGTTCACCATTAATTCCTTATGTTCCGTTTTTGATGAAAAGACTAGAGTCCGGCGCCATAAAATCAGTCTAGAAAAACAAACTTCATCATCGTTTTTGTCAAAACTCAATATAAACATACATTTTTTTGAAGTCGCCGCGCCATTTCATAATTTTTAGTTATTCATAAAGTAGAGTAAAACTGTTTATTAATAACTAAAAATTATGAAATGAAATGGCTAAATCTCGGTTTAGTTAAACTGGTCATGATTTTAGGATCTGCAAGATAACTTTAGTTAGATTTAAGTTAAGTCGAGTTTAAGGCTAAGTCTGGATTTGATTAAATCGAGATTTTGGAAATTTTACTGCAAGTGGGCCTAAAAAAGGAAAACATTGAAATTTTCAAAAAAATACTCGATATTTAAAAAATATCGATGTTTTTATACGATATATCGAAAAACATCGATGTCAGTTCCGATATTTTATATCGAGTATTCATATCGATATATTTTTTAAGTGGACACCCCTAGTCCGGCAGTAGGGATTTTCTAGTTGAACATCGATGTTTAATAAACATCGATGTTCAACTAGAAAATATCGATGTTTTAACTTTGATAACATCGGCACATCGATGTTTTCTAGCACATCGATGTTTTCTAGATGTACTAGCTATACTCCATTCATTATAGCATTAGACAGAATGAAATTAAGGTTCTTTTTATGGTATTAAGGTTCTTTGCGAGAAAATGTCAACAATCATGTTACTCTTAAGACTAACGGGTAATTTGCTACATATCCACTTAAATACCAGCTGCTATACTTAACCGTTGTCTTTTAAGCTATATATTAGACAAATTTATGAGTATTTGACTGACTTAAAACATTTAATAATTATTATTAACTATTTAATATTAATAAAGAACCTAAAGAAGCAGGGTTAGATAGTTTCGGCACGATTCTCATGTCACTATAACTCCACCAAATTTAAAACGTTGCCTAATCCTTTCAAACGTTTCGGCAGTACAGCTTTTTAATTTTGTCAGATTATGATTTATTCATAATAGTCAAAATACGTAATCTGGGATTGTCATTCATTGTGAATGCTACTAAATACCATGCCTTTCTTGTTGTTTTGCCATTTTCAGTGATTGAGTAATTACTGTTTTATTGTTGTTTTGTTTTAGTTGTTATCTTTTTGTTGTTAAGTTTTGCTGGATTGCGATTCCGGTGCAGGCTCGAGTGGCCTACAACAATTACCTTTGACATTTCAGCAAGTTTTTCCAGTCTTAATCAATAGTCTAATAATATCTGAATAAATGTTGTAACAGTAATAATAAAAATTTCATTTTGTTGACCTTTATTTTCTGGGCATAGATATAACTAAATTATATTCTAATTATATACACTTACAATTAGAATCAATCAAAACAACAGATAGTTTTATTTCCATGTTGGCTCTCAGTAAAAGATGAATTTAGAAAATGCTAGTCTCATCTCAACCCCGAGAAAATGTAAAATTTTCCAACTCTTTCAGACTACCTAAAGTTCAAAATTTCAACAAAACTATTATAAATATTTTTTAAATTTATCTTGTAAATAAAATGTTCTGCACTGCTGCTTCTAAGATCCTCTTTTTTCTAATGTTATAATGAATGGAGTATAGATGATCTCGTATATCAAGTTCAACAATTTTTCACTAGATGTCACCGGTTGCACTCGTAATTGAAGTACGAAACTGTAGTATGTAAATATTAAGAATCAAGTTATAAACATGATTTGAACGGAATGCACTAATATGCAAATAATTCACGTTTGATGAATGTGCTTCCTTAGCAGTTACATATCACGTACCCTAATATCCCCTCTTAGATTTAAGGAGTATATAAGACGAATATTGTTTAGTTAAA